ATTTACTGATGAAGTTTTAGGCAACACTATCATCAGTATCACAAGCCACCTCAGATTGTCGCAATATATGCTTCCCTTCTGAAACAATATACATGAGATTTGGCAGACTTCCTCTCCTCATCTAAAGGGCTTCGGAGAGAAAAGGAAGTCATATAAAACGAGAGATCACCCTACCGTTAAAAGAATTACCTGCCTAATTCGGGTGCATCAAGTTCGCCTGGCAAACTACGTGACCTGCGGGATTAGGTAACGAAACTAATAATAAACAATAAGTGGTGGCCAGCGGTAAAATCCAGAATGCGCATATCAGCCTTTTTCGGATTTGTCAGCCGTATGTAAGGAAGATCACAGGCGTCAATAAATAATATCCACCTTGCCAGCACTGCTGAGACACTTCTTCTGTTAAACTTCAGGTCAGGAGTTCGAACTTGTTAACGTTGCACTAATCCACAACGATGGTGAATTTGGTGACAGAGGAATTGAATTTCATCTTAGTTCCCCGCTGTCAGTCAACCAAACTCGAGTTTACAGATTTGACTGTTCAACGAAATTTCTGTCGTCATCTACTTCAGATTTGGATGTCACTAAATGTTAAGTAGCAGCCATCTGAATATTGTTGGTGTAACTCTCGCAAAGTAGATGCAATCAAATACAGGCATTCTAGTTCGTGAACCACTCTTCGGTGCTTGCTAAACTCAGTTGTGATCTCTCTACGCACTAATTGGAGCCTGGGGACCCCCTGAAAGAGTAAAAACAAGCAATGCTGCCACGTGCCACGACATCTTGTTGAAGTAAATTACATTAGCCGGCATAAATAGGACACTGATACCTTGGTTCAAGGCATATTTAAGAGATTGAGAGTTCTATATGATTTTAAATATAATCCAGTCCATGTGTAGGCTTCCAACCTTTGGAGTCTACCGGGTTGCGGTTTTTGGGTCAGTTCTGCTCATCTCCATCATCTTCGCTCAAACATTCTGTTCTCCTTTCCCTCCCCTCTCTTTCTACCGTTTGATGCCATTCATCCATGTCGCTGCTTAGTTTCCTCACCCCTTCAAAATTTTCTCTAACTTCATCTATAATAAAATTAATAATGTATTTCATACAACATGAGTTACTTGAAAACAAACCAGTTTACAGGTCTGATCATTTGGTAATGTCAACTGACTGTTATGTGCAGTATGAGGCTGTACAACGGAAACCGTTGTTTCCGGTACATAAAAGATGCGTCTAGAGTAAGAACGTGAGTGCTTCGCAGACAGAAAAAAATGAAACAGATAAACACCAGCGCAACCGTTCACCATACTGGGGCTAGCTCAGTCCGAAAGTATGAAATATTCCGCTATCGTCTGAATCTTCCAATATTCTTGAAGGTAGGCGGGTGGAACTGCTGTAACCTTGGGCTTTATGCGTTCCTCATTAGGTCTAGATAGCATAGTACACGCTGACAAATTAGACTACTAGGATTCCATATGGATGAAGGACTGGTTGGGTAAACCTGAAAGATGAATAGCAAAAGCGAGCAGCAGATGAAATTCGGAGCAGGGGCACAGAAATACTACGTAGAAGCACATCGACCATGATACATGTAGGTGAGTTCATTATGCTGACTGCAAAAGTTACTTGAAGAGGTATGCAAAACCTACTTTTTATGGATAAGCTTAAGGGGAAGAAGATGAAGTGCATACAAAATTAGTGGAAACTAAACCGAAGCCGAAGATATCACTATGGAATAGAGAGAATAGAAGATTTGGAACCAAGTATTCGCTTATGTGCAGAAAACCTATGTACAAAAGTTTAATGAAGTTATAAACGTTTAAATGGAACTCATTTAGCTGTCTCTTCTGTTTTTTTGGCTCTCAGCTGAACCGTCCTGTCCCCCTTTACCATCAGTTCAAACAGTTGTCTGATAATGAGAAAAATGGAGGCCGTCTAAAAAGACAGTCTCAGAGAAAGTCACACATCTCCCCATAACTTTGACTTGCAGCCAACTGCTTGTCCTGATTGCCTCAGCTACAGAAGGCGAGTAATTATTTCTATCACACTAGAATTCCTCAAAGACCTGGGACCACTCGACAAGGCTTAGAAGATAGCGCGAGAAGATCACTTTGTTTCGTGCAAGCCCGAAAAACAGATATTCAGTGTTCGGAATACTGACACCACCAATAGCGAGGTTCCATGAAACAGACGCGTGAGTGAGCTTTGAAAGAGGGATACTGTGGGTTTGATTGCAGTTGAGATATTTTCTGTGTTTTCGTCCAGTTGCTGCCTGACGTGTATATGCAATTATGCGACCTGATTCTTTCTAATGACAGTATCGAAGGCTGTGTGCATGGCGTGTCGTAGAAATTTCATCGATTCTGCCCGAGCGGTGAGTTAAGCACTTTGCTTATAATGGACTCACTGCCTTCGTGACCCTAGCCGGCCACCTGGTTACAATGACAGACTGCTAACTAGCCCGTTCGGTAGTGACTGGCATTTGCGTCCACGTTGCAAGACCAAACGCACTTGCCAAAACGGCTCTAAGTTTATCAGGTGTGGTCCTGCTCACCAAATATCCGAGGCATAGACAAAAGGTGACTCATTCAAGAAAAGATTGCATTATGTCAGGGCCATTCTGAAAGATCGTAGTCGGAGGTCGTATCGCTAAAACCATTTCCCTTTCGATTTCTCCTAACGATTATCCAAGCGGAAAATGGTCAAAAATAGGGCTAACTCATCGTCGGAAAACCGTCTTAAGGTCTGCCCTCCAACAAGCACAGCACTGGAATAGATTCCCTCAATGAAGGGTGTGAATGTCACATTTTACGAGTGCCGCAAGAGAACGAGGAGGAGTAACTGCAAACAGGCTGAAGCATGAAACAATGCTATTTCAAATGGTAGCAACTTTAGTGGGGTAGACACTTCTCGTGCTCAAGTCAAAGTGGAACCAATTATCGTACCAACCTATCCTCTTACCACACAGTCGAGACCTAGACCTCCGTACCCAGACCTTAAAACTATCTGCACAGCCTTCTACACACATAGTTGGCAACTTACATCTTGTATGTCATCCCCGTGAGTGGGACCATGAAGTTGGTTACGCATTCTTTGAGGGGATCGCATCCAGAAGGATGGAAGACAACCTTAATCCTAGATCTTTCACGCTCTTTGACTTTAACGATACCGGCGCCTTCTGACATATTTGTGTAGGGCACTGGAATGGAATCACGAGGCAGAGTGTTTCTTTTGGTATAGGGGGCCCTAGTGGCTCAAAGATTCGGCGAACTAACTGTGAGGTACACAACTTGCTAGTCCAGGAATTTTTGAATAGTTTCTGTCAAGTTTAAGGGAAAACCACACTCCAAATGGACATTTGAAACGCTGAGGGGTTAGGTTACGCAGAATTTGAGCCTCTTAGGGAGCTTAAGTCCTAATTAATGCTCAGGAACTGATGGCATTCGCCCGACTGTCCCGCTAGCAAACCTCTTTAGACATATGTATCTAGAAAACAAGTTGTCCTGTGGCTGGAAGCCAGTGGCTGTTGTCCCAGCGTATAAGGCTGAAAAAATCTGCTTGGTGCCCTCCATTGCAACGGTTATGGAAAGAGTAGTAAATGACCCTTTGTGTGACTGGTTACTTAGGAACTGTTGAGTTCCCAGCTGACGGTTAACATTCACTACAGTCTGGAAGCTCGGTTTGCGAGGCTGAGCGGTATGCTTCAGGTTTCCATTCTTCATTCGCCATAGCTATTTGCCTCTGTTAATAACTTGTCAGCTAGCATAAACTCTCTCTCGTTGCATAGTGAGATATCGAGATTTGGAGGGAGACACATCGATAAGTACATATATATATACATATATATATACTGGTCTTACAGGAGGACCTTCCTAGAACCATCAGCTGGAGTTGCGAAAACCTCCACGCTGTCAACAAAAGGAAGTGTAGGAAAATGACTGCAGGCAAATATAGGTGTAATTATAGTTCTAACTCCCTGAAGGAAATAAATATCCCTCACTCAGACATTGAAAAAGATCTAGGGGATACTCTAAGTGACGCTTTCTGGGCTTCCACCCATTGCCAACAAGCCATATGAACTCTTAGAGTTTCTTTCTCGAACTCCAGGCAGCCTAACTTCGGACCTTTTCACCACAGTGTACAAACTACATGTTCGTCCCCATCTACAGAAAAACTCTCTAGTTATACCTCGATACTTAAGGAAGGGCGTATTTATCGTTGAAAGAATTCAGAGAACAGCTGCAGAGGAAGCGGTTGGGTTACGGCACAATCCCATTTTGGATCGTTCATTTGCCCTGAGGCTACACTAGGTCCAGTAACGGAGGATCAGGGGTGATATGATAATGGTGGATCATATCGCCAACCATTTCCCTCGCTTTAGTCAGTCGCCCCTTCGTATTAATCAGAAACACCACCGTCATCCTTTGAAATCACAGCAGGAGATAGCATATTCGGTAATCCTTGCTAACTCATTTGCAATTAGTTTCTAAAAGGTGAAACTCCCCTTTTGAAGAAGTCACAACCTGTTCTCTAGATGTTTCTAAAAGAAGGATTGGTGCACGCAAAGTTCAGTGGTACATATGGATTGGACCGAAGAAGTTATCCATCGTCTAATAAACCATGGGTAGCAGCGCTACATATGGCAAGCTGATTAATTAATCAGTTATTTCTGTCCTTTTAGGTTTGTTTGAACCAGGAAAACAAGTGACCATTCCAGACAGAGGACGTGTTCCATGAAGAAGAATGAAGGACCTAACGATTCATCATTCGCTACTTCTAAAATGGGAAGTTTGATATCTGAAGTTTGAGTCCAGAAACTACCAGTTCCCTATATTCACACTTTGGATGTTAGGTGTCGCCGTATGGTCCTACGTTATCGTCACTAATGAAAATTTACGGACCAGGTTTTTAATGTGGCTGATAATGTGTCTGTAAGAGTTTTGATGTTGATAATGCACCTTCACAGTTGTATACCTGGAAGATTTTGTTAGGTGATACAAGTTACTGAAGGCACGACATTCAAATTCGCTCGCAGGTGCTGCGCAGCACGCTCCTGAATCTGAAGCTGATATGGACCCTTCACTTATAAATGAGTTAACTAACTGTCTACAACACACACTTTCACCAGACAGAGAGAGCAGAAGATCGGCAGAGGCATATCTCAAGGCTGTGGAACTACGTCCTTCCTACTGCATATGCTTGCTTGGTATTCTTCAGGATTCCAACACCCCTCTCCCAACACGGATGGCTGCAGCCATCACTCTTAAAAACTTTATCAAAAGTCACTGGCATGTTGTAAGTGTGGGTGTAATATTTCATAATGTTTCTATAAGTTATGAAGTTCAGTCGCTTGGAAAAGTATTACAAGCTTTTTCTGTTTTTTACGTAGGTTAAAAAGGGTATGAAAACAGACTCAACAATTGGCACCTCGTGATTTTTTTTGTCGTAGGTAGAAGAAACTTATTGATGTGACCCGTTTGGTCCTCACTGATTGTTAAAACCCATGAACTTTACATTCGGAATTCGTTGTTTCTTAGAGTCGTGTTAAATGTCAGTATATGCCTCTGGAATGTTTTGAAGATGTGATATTCTAAAGTGGATTTCTTAGTATGGGACTCCAGCTAATTCTATTAGTCGAACCTGTCGATATCACGTAGGACTGACTCGAACATAAGTTAATCAACTTTCTTAGGTTTTTCTTTATCTAACTGATTTCCGAAAAGTTAGTTTGGACTCACTTTCTGAGTGGATACAAATGGCCTCTGAAAATGACTTATCTGTAGGGATATAATCAAGAACTTGTTGGAAATTTCTTCTTTGGGTGTATCACTTTCTGTGGTTCTCTTGGTACTTGTGTTGAAATCATGACTCTTATCTGTGATCAATTGGAGTTCGAACTGCTTACAACCTGGGTGTCATGGTGATATAACTTATGTCCACCGTTGGGTTAGCGTCTATAATCTTCAATTAAGAGAGTTTCTGACTTTAGATCCCAGTGCTACACAAGGAGATGGTCGTTACAGTATTAATTCTTTGTGATCATATGTTTTGGACCGTTGATTTAACTCCCTAAGGATATCAGTTTTTCTGTCTGTTTCAACCTTAAATATATTCTGCGGTCGTCGCATACGACAGACATTGGTGTAGCCTAATATATAAAACAATCAATTGGTAATTTCGTAGATGGGTGCTTCAAAAAGCCAATGTACAACATTTTCCGGACATTTTGAGATATTTGACTCAACACTGTACAAGAACCAATACAGATTCAGGCCCTAACTACCGTAGAATTTCTTGAAATTCGCATCTCAAGCCCATCAGAATGTCATAAGATTTCCACTGACATGCAGGGTGGATCACTAATTTATCGCACTGACCAGACAGGATCAAACGAATATTCACATTATTGTTCAGAAAACATAGGTAACCCAAGGTGTTGGTTCTGACAAATAGGGCAGTTTTGATTCGACAAATTGTGCAATGATAAAAACTACAACGGGATTCTGAGTACTCTTTTAGGAGATAAGGTCAAAGTACTTTTAAGTCGTGAGCACCAACTCGACTAAAAAGTATACTGAAAGAATTCGCATTGATAAGATGCCGTTTGGTCTTGCAACTCTAGTAGTTAACAGAATGGCGAAATCACTGTATAACGCTGCACGAAAGTGCATAAGTTTGTTACCACATTTCTCAGGGGTATGCAAGCAATAAGTGGACAGAGAAAGAATAATATTCAAGAAGACTGAAGTTTATGACAAGAGAACGTTTGAAAAATGAAAGGTGGGTGAGAATGTCAATCTTTAGAAGACGCGAAAGAGTGAATACCGCGTCAATGTGACCAATTTTTAGTCATGTCACCAAGCACTCTCAACCATCAGTTCGTAGTATCTCGAGGACTTCGGCGGCTCAATCTACATCTTCCTAAACGACTGAAATTGACAGTCAGTGGCTTCATGAACTGGTGCTACGTTCCGGTCTGATTACCCTTAGCCTTCCAACCCAATTCTACATTAATATTGCACTTCCAGGTAAGCGGTGGTTGGACATATCCTACACATCTAAGCTACTGTAGTTGGTGAAGGTTCACAATTTCACCGACTGACTTACCATCTTCGTCTGGCTTCGAAATTGCTCACACGGTGATTCCACCATGCGTAAGGAATACTGCAAAACACCTGTTGTCAAGAGTCTGTAGCCATCTCATCTGCTTTCAGCGGTCATATTTAAAAGTTCTATAACTGCACAGAACAGACTGCAGAATAGTATACTTGCCAGTACCGAAGATGACTCAAGTTTGCAAATAACTAGAGTGCCCTTTGTATTCGAGCTGAGGTCTCATCATTAACCAACTCATTTAGACTGATGCAACTTCCAAAGTAAGCAAAGTGATCAACGCATTCGGCCAATTTATTTTTTAATATTTAAGCCAGGAGTTAGTGTAGACCAGTTTTGAGGTATCATCTACATTTTACAGGTGCTTTGCGCATATCAAGCATACTCAGAATCATTTCAAGACGTTCAGGAAGTCCTGCATTGTGTCGTCTTCGCTCAACAGGTCTTCTGCCTACTCCACAACTGGATATCCTCCAGGATATAGGTCTATCCTTGTAAAGCTAGAAGTACCTTGGACTATGCCCACTAGTTTACCTATAACGAAGTTAAGCAGGAATTGAATGGGCGACTTTGGGAGACACCGTTTGTCGTTACTTTAGATGACAACTCCCTATAGGCCTTTGCGGGATTGCGTGAGTTTGAGTAAAGAACCCTGACTAGCACTACATACCTGCCGTCTTCACAGTCAGACATTGCCACAACACTTCACAGTCGACAGAATCGAATGATACCTTCAGGTTAAGAAATGTGACAATTGTTGGGTGCCTGCGCATCAAAATCTGTCGATGGATGGAGATCGGATCGAGGCATTCTCGTCAAGCTCCAAAACCTGTCTTTTTTTCTCGATTTTGTTCTCTGTCTCCACTTAGGTGGCTTAAAACTACGAACCTTAGGATCTTCGACACGGTGTTTGCCAAACACTTTCCCATGGTCATCACAAAGAAACTCTCCTTATAAACTAAAATAATCAGTGAGGTAGAACAGTAACAGGACTACCTCTAATCTGTATACGCTACTTAGTATCTCCGCTACTCTGCTTAGCAATTTCCTACTTCCATCTTTAAGATCTTCTGATGGAAAACCATCAGGTCCTGCTACTTTGCATCTTTTCAAGTTAGAAAAAGCCTTCTCAACTTTGAGGAGAAATAGAGGACCTACATCTGCGTTCCTTATATGTTCGGACTAGATGTCGGGTAGCTCAAGCGTTTCTGTCGATCAGTTTTCCTATGCTTCAAAGTTTTCTACCTAACCTTCCAACCGTCTTCCTGAGATGCTACCACGGGCCCATCCTTTTCAACCACTACTAACCACCGTATCCTAGCCAGTTTCCTTGATAAACTTTAATGATTGTCAAGTACTGCTTATTGCTGATGCCTTCCCCACCTCTCACTTTGGCCATTTTACCACTGATCACGATCATTACGAGTTTGCCTTTAAACTGCTTTCGTTCTTCAGCGTGGTCCGAGCCAGCTGGAATGAGTCTTCTCGCTCTACTCAGTCTAGATAACGTTTTGGAAACCCCCTACTTTACTGATCTTAGGATTTAGGTTACCGACTGTTTTTACTGCCGTTTCTACAGCAGACTGAATAATATGACAGGTTTCATCAAAAGGATAACTTCTATATCCAGATAAACGCCTTGCCATCTCCCCAAATACACTCTTGACGTTCTCATGTTCCATTAAAGCACAAAAGCTTTATTGTTGTGCAGCTACTAAGCCACAAACATACGCGTCATACTGTAGCATCATCGGAGTTCAAGCAGGTAGCGGCAATCCTCTTCCATGATGGCTTGGAACAGTATGATCAATCTGCGCCCCCCGTTGTTTTGATGTTGGTGGACGCCAGGTGAGAGTGTCTTCCTATACTTCAAGTTAGTGCTGGTCAACAGCAGGCGATTGTCACGACAAAATTGTTAGAAACGATCACTTATTGGTTCGCCGGGATAGGATTCCATATATTCTCCCAAGATACTTTTCCCCTTGAATCAGCTTCTCTGCTTGACCGTCGAAGTCACCTGCTAGTGTGGCTTTTTCTGAACGGTTCGCTTTCTGTAGCGAAATTGACAGTTTTTGATAGAATTCATCCTTTGTATCATCCGAACTGCACCTAGTGGGCGCATAAGCAGAGATGACCATCGGCGTGTCACGACCCTTTCGAGTTCTTACAAACCCATTCAGTCGGACAGCACACAGACGGTTGTTGACCAGTATCCAGTCGAGTTTGCTCCCTGATGTACAACTCAATGCTACCCCTGCACCAGCGAGTCCACGAGAGCTGTCTGTTGAATCTCCGAGTACTCGTAAAGTGAATCTTTAAGATTCATCGCAATGGTCGGATGAGTCCAAGTAAATGACCACTGGGATTCCGAATGCGTGTCCCAGAAACAGCATACATCCATGTCTGGAGGTTCCAGAGTTTTAGCAAGAAGTGCCTGGTATCCCATTTAGTATAAGGTTGGGACGTTGAAAGCTCCAATGTGAAGCCAGCAGCGGGGTCTTAGAAGACTAGGAATGGCATTTCGCTATCTTGAATTGTCTTAAATGATCATAGAGTGAAACGTTGGAAAAGTTGTAAGAGGCTTAATATTGGTGTTAGAAGATAAAGGCAAAGAAAGAGACAGAAGTTAGGAGGTTAGGTTTGATTTGGTTTTGTATACTCTCAGCAGCGTGCAGGTGGCTGAAATATGTTTCTGCAAGTTGCTTAAGGGAGAAAATGGATTAGTTTAGCGTCTGCATGTGGCCTATACAACATCTTGAGACGTTTTACATACACTTTCTATTATTGCGGACATAGAACATTGTACTAACACCAGACAGGGAAAGTTCATACCGCCGTGACCAGAAAACTGCAGGGGAGGGTAGAGTGCAATATTTTTGAAACCGAACTTTTCTAAATTCTTGTTCCTATACGGCAGGGAGCATCAGGATGAAAATGCTGTGCATCCATGGGTAAAACCTTACTGCTGCCACACCCTGTTGTACGCGTTTTTTAGGTATATATGCGCACTATGTCGAGGTTGTAAATGCGACAGCCGTTTAGATCGAAATAGACGTAACAGATCGCAATTTGTGTTTCAGTGGTTTCTAATTAAATATCTGCACTACTGAACCAGATCTCTACCAGTGAGCGGCATAGTAAACAACTCTCTACTACTAAAACTTCTGAGTTCTGTTCAGGCTAACACTCATTGGCTTGTGGGTAGAACGATCTGATGATTTCCAAATGCCAGGATATATATCCTGCTATCCATTCTAATCTAATTACGCTATCTAAGTACCAAGGACTTAAAATTATTCGAAAGAATTCCTAATACGGTATATAACTATGAATCTGTGACCATTCACATTGGAATTTTATATCCTCCTAAGGAACACCAACATTACGTGATCGGAAAGGTTGACAGATATTTTCGTTTGCGTAAATCCGATTTCAGAGGTTTTTTCCAGTCTATATGAAATTACCGGTTGCACAGTAACTTAAACACTTTCATCAATACTACTGAGGTAATTACACTAAACTTCCATTACGCAATAGTTTGGGTTCCTTGAGATAATAGGAATCAACAGTTGGAGATCCATGCTAACATGACTGAAAATCGGTTACATTGATACAGATGTATTCACTCTTTCACGTCTTCTAAAGCTTTTTCACTAACCTTCATTTTCCAAACGTTCTCCTGTCATGCACTTCTATTTTCCTTGAATATTATTCTTTCGCTGTCCACTTATTCTTTGCATGCCACTGAAAAGTGTAGTAACTCGAACCGATGCATTTTTATGCGGGGTTCTGCGGTAATTCTGACTGTGCGTCGGTTCCTCTGTGAACCGTTTCAGCCATTGATTTTGCAGTCAGTCAGTATTGGTCCGAAGCCTGACATTACAGCACGTTGTTCAGCTTGCCACATCTACCAAAAGCATCAAGGTACAATGTAGCAGGATGCAATTCAAAGAAATAATAGTCTGATCAAAATTAATCAAAAACTAAGGGATGAAATATAAGGTGACAGTTAGGATGAAGGTATTTTGTGAGTACATCTCCACAATCGCAATCGATTTGATCGATATTACCAGGTCTCCAATTATCAGTCTACTTATCTGGCACAGTCCGCTGTGGAAGCCTTTATTTCCCCACTTGACTGAGACCATCAGTTAGTGACGTAAGTGGCTAATTCCATGGCTGTTCTCAACTTTTCATAACTTGACCGACAATTCAGCTAACATGGCTCGCTGGGGTCGATATGACAAAAGGATCAGGTTAAAACCTGGAACCGAATTACATCCGTCCGTTTCAATATGCGTAATACATGCCCTAGCCAATTTAAGCGATAGAAGCCTACCATCTCATTATTTAACATATGTCTTGTGTAGAATATACTTAATTTCTGCATTGCTCACTTGGTGGTCTGGCCACATCTACGGTGCTACATTTTTCTATCCAGCAAAGTAAAATGATAATAATGCGCTCTGCAACCACGTTCCCACTCATGCAATAAGCAATGAGCCACACTTGTCGTGTGAAACCTTACATTACTGCCTGACTGCTCAGATCTCGGTGGATGAAGCGTGATTCTCACTCGTGACATGCTGTTTGAAAGTTAACTGCGCAGACCAATGAGCCACCGCTCCACTCCTTTTTCTAAAGTCTTCAACTTCCATGTAACTTAGTATTCTTGAATTTCTTCTATACACCCTTCCCGAATCTTTTTGCTTTCGCTCTTCCGCTCTGATGTAGCAGTTAAACTGCTACGCTATAATGCAGGGTTCTATATTAATAGTGTCGATCTCAGTGTTCTATAGAGCTTTACTGGGAGCTTAAATCTGGTTTGGTTTACGAAGTAATAATCTAATTTGTTACTGTCATCCGTTGGCCTTGCGGTGGCGCTGGTCCTTTTATAATAGGTTCTACTCATGTGTCATTATGAATGAATAAAAGGTTAGTACATACCAACTGTTATATACCATGGTTACAGTTAGTTTTCTAGTTGGCCCACGTAAAGAGTATAGTGTATGGATACCATGACTCATAGAAAATGGTAAATGTAGTTCCTTGGTCAGCTTCTAAAACGTCAATAATATTTTACCTTAGTTCTTCGCTTTGAGAAATCAGTCCGGGTAGTTACTAGATGATATATTGTGTAGACGCAAACACTGAATAATTTATTGATAATTCTTGCTTGATACACATCCTAGCAGTCTTTTTCTGCAAATGTCAACTCATGCTTACAGAAGAGAATGAAGAGCTTTCGAACCACAATGTATAAGTAGTAACAAACACAGGAAATAAAGTGCCCTCAAAATTTTCGTTTCAAGCTTAAGTTTTATTGCCGTCCCTCTCTAACCTGTAGATTTACAAACTAGCTAATGTCTCACTATGCAATGATATCTAGATATGGCAGTTACTTTTTATTAGTTTCTTTCTATATGATATACTTTTTAAAAAATTATACGATTGCTACTTACCAGTTGAGAAATATCAAAGTTGAACCATAATTTCTTTCATAAAAGGATTTAAATGACATAATGAACCCACACCGTTTGAGATCAACAAGTCTACGGCGCACATTGTATCTAAGTGGATTTAAATTGATGCTGCAACTCAACAGCCATCCACAGTATCGTGTACTAAACGCTGTCGCATATTTATCATATAATACTTATGTCACTAATTAGGTTCCAAAATCTCAGTAAATGGATCCGGGTTTGAATTATGAAATATATCGATTGGAAGTCTAATGAAAGTTGAAGGCGGTCAGACCGGAGTATCTGATATACATAACGTCTATGATCATTGATCTTAGTCGTATATATAGGTGTAAGTATCCAGGTTGGAATCCACATGAAAACCGAATGAAAGTGGTTGGAGACTAGGTAATATGGCTCAGAATCGCTCACTGCTGCAGATGCACTCACTATCTTCATCCTAATTGTCGTTTATTATTTAGTTACTTCTTGCTCATCTCTTCTTATGGCTTTTAGTTACTTTTGACTAGTTTTTCCAATTTCCCTATCTCTTAAGTTTCTGTCGTGTGTTTTGACAACTTGGACGCAGCATTGCCAATTCCCATGCTGATATTGATTGAGTGGATCGAATAAATCAGTTAAAGTGGATAAAACCTCTGGAATATCCTGTCACATAGTTACCAACTTTGCGCATTTGAATGCGTAAGTGATTTCAATACAGGATGATAACATGCTAGCACAAACCTATCACTGAAGAAAAGTCATGTGATCCAGAACTGATTATCATGAAACAGCCCAATTCTCTCTGGCAAACAGCTGTTATCTTAATGTGACTGCAAGATTGGCAGGAGGCTGTGCCTGAGCTCACCGTTGGTGGTGAACCGTTGGAAGTAGTCGAATAGTTTGTGTATCTGGGTAGTTGTGTGGTAAAATTTCCAACCGCATATCGAAAGTTAGAGTAGCATACGCCAATCTGGGCCACCTTTGGCGATGTTGCGACGTTAGTCTGACCGTAAAAGCTTGGGCTTACAACACTTCGGTGCGAGCAGTTGTGCTCTATGCCTGTAAAACTTAGCCTCTCTGAGTTGAGAATGTGCGACGACTCTGTGTTCGATCATCGTTATCTCCGTATGATTGCTCGTATTTGGTGGGAACACCAGGTAAGTAGTTTTGAGATACGGTAGCTTGTGTTTGGGCATGATGGAGATCGTCATTCAGTGAATGAAGTCATCTGGAAACACCGGCTTCTGTGGCTTGAACATGTGTTACGCATGTCGTCTCAACGTCTTCCACGCCGTTCATTGTTTGCTAACTATGAGAGTGGATAGAAGAAGCGGAGAGATGGTCAGTGTATGACATAGTGCCGTGAGATGAAGGATAGTTGTATCGGGTAAGCATTTTTTGGTGCATTATGACTCTCTGAGTGGAGTCTGAGAGACCACGCAACTGAGTGGGTTGAGACGTTATCAGATATTGTAGTGAATTATAACCAGTGGTGTTCATGCTATAGCTTCCTTCAATGTTGTTCTGCTGAAAGGCTATGAATGTTTAGTTTCGAATGCACCTTACCGGACTGCGCGTCTGTTCATTCTTTCTTGTTTTTTTCACCTAATTCGCTTCCGTTTGTGTCTTCGTAATGTTATATTATTTTGTATGGCTCATTTCTTGGTGCTCTTGTTGGACTACGTTTGTGTTCCAAATAATAATAAAATATTGTGACTGACCGTTTTGCTTATTGTAATAATAACCCAGTTGAGTTCTGGTAGCTAAAATAAATGTTCCTTGAAGTTGTTTGATATCATAATCGGTTAAATAGTGATGAATGTCACAGTTTAAATGATTTACACTACAATACTAATCTGGGGTCAACATTTTTACCGTTTTCTGAACAAGGCCTATCGATATTGAGATGTTTCTCCTGTACTATCTTTTCACTTTAAGAGAAAGTGTAGACCGCAAAAACTGCATTCTATGAACTGCTGTGCACATTTCTATCATCAGTGGTAATGTTCTTTAGGAAACGAAGACGATGTTTACGTACAACACATATATTTGTTATCAGTGTTATTACTGAAGAAGGGGAAATATGGACTCTATTCAATATGTTTTGGTCAGTTATTACATTTATTTAAAAAGACAGTTTACTCAAAAGTTATTCTATGGTATTAATTTTATAGGCTTCCTTTCGACTCGTTAAATGTTTCATAAAATAATTAACTGTTAAGTGTGTCTCTCATTTTGCGGCCTGAATGGTTTAGTTGTGTATTTTTAATTTACTTGTATTCTATGAACATACTATATGGAGTTAATATTCCTTATCTTTCTAGGACTCTGAGGAAACAGATCATATACAGGCCTCTGACCGTGAAAGTTTACGCAATCAGCTTATCGGGGCTATGCTTTCTGTATCAGGGAATATACAACCACAACTTTCAGAAGCCATAAGTACAATTTGGCGCGAGGATTTCCCCGATAGATGGCCTAATTTGATTCCTGAATTGGTCCAACGAATGGCTCAACTTGGTGCAGATTTAAGTATGGTCCATGGAGTCCTTTATACAGCTCATACATTGTTTAAGAGGTAACCATCAGAATTGTTTCATACTTACTGCGTATAAAAAGTTGGTTGCATCAGTAGTTCTCTACAAGTAACACTGATGACCAGGATGGCTTACTTATTTTATGTATCCCGGTCTACATATGCACTGTTATTTAAACTAGTTAAACCACGGTGTCTGATTCCGTACGAAAATTCCATACTTCCCTGATGCTTTATATTTGTCATCTCCAGCCAACAGTAGATCTCAGATACCTCTTGATGTGTGTTGGGATAAAGTATTACTTTATATGGGTAGAACAACTGTAGTCGTTAGCACTGGTTCCCTCAGGGTAGTATGTTTTGGTTCAGTTGTTTAACAATATCTTCAATCCTGGAGAGAAGGTTTTGACTATTGCTACTTCTCTTGTTTAGACAAGCTACTGGTATCACTCATTCGTTCACGGAACATGTGTAGTTCACAGCACGACAAACTTCGTGTAGCACGTCTGCGCGAGATTTGTATATTACTGAGTAATCATAATCGGGTGGCAGATTGCTATAATAAAAGTTAAATGTCAACGAAGAATATTTTCAATAACTTCTCGTTGGGTTCTGCTGTTATAAACTTAATTCCATTAACATATTAATAGCCAAAATTTGCAGATGGATAGTGGTGGGTGCGTGATAGTGTAACTTATGTATGTATACCCATTACGGTAATAAGTTGAGTAGTGATACTGGGTGATGGTTGAAGGTGAAATGAAAATTTAGACCGCGGCCGGATTCGAACCAATAACCACCTGGTTTAAGCCCGATGCTCTACTAACTGAACTATGAGGTCCGACTGCTGACCAGATTTTCACTTCAGGTTGAGTGTCAATTGACTGGTAATCAGACGTGTGGGGGAAGGAAAATTCGTAATAAAGTTCTGGGTTGCATTGTGTCCAGTGAGTGATGGAGCGAATATGTTATCATAAAATGATTAAAATGTGAAACGGCTAAGATGATAAGAGTAGTCATAATTTCAAAAAAATGTTAACAGGAATCTTAAAGGTTTATTATGATTAGCTAGGAGAACAGTCTGGTTAAAAATAATAGGAATAATTTAGTTTTTTTTTAAAGAAAGAGAGAGGGAATAAAAAAAGGTTCAGAAAGAAACAAAGTTTGATGGGATACTATTTAGTCAGTGGAGGCCCAAGGGAGGAGTAGGGCTTGGACGTGTTGTCTTTGAATACAAAGTTCAGGCTTAGTTGATCTTACAGCCACAGCTTCTGCTATATGGAGAATGCGTAAACGCATGGTAAAAAGTAGTCTTCAGAACGTGGTGTATCACAGCAAAAGCTGTACTAGTATCTATTAGGTGTGCTAGTATAGAACTTCTACTGGATTTGATTGCACCCTCGGCATACCAGGCCGATAGATATTCCTTGTTTCCTGAGACAGAAATATTTAGTAGTGCGCCTTATATAACTTGTTCCATAGAAACAATTGAATTGGTTTATGCATGATGATGAGCCCAAATTGGGCAAGGTGTCCTTAAGTTTCGGGTTGAACAATAGTTAGCTATTAAATGATACGCATATATGTCTTGAGTACAAACGTTCTATTCATTGTTCTGGATAGACGTTGTGACAAAATTTCACTCGAAGTATCTCCTTTGAATTGTAGACGCAGAAATAAAGGTTTTTTGTGCACGTTTATCAATTGGCATTTTTGAGTATTATAAACGATATTTGCTTTTATAAACTTCTGTGGACACCCATTTCCCATTAAAAATATCCTGAAGGATTTGTAATTGTTTCTTAACACTTTCCTTGAATGAAGTAGATCGATGTTACTCTAAACGCTAAACACCTTAATAACAATTCGTTTATACTTCATTGGTATAAAGTTGAGGAAGCGTGCATGCTACGCTTTAATCATCTTCCTATATACACTTCGTTTTTAAGAAGCGTTTTATTTTTTTCTTATTAGTAGGAAATGAGGAGAATTATCACTTTCACTTTTGTTTGTAAAATGAACTGATGGATGGAGGTTATTGAAGCGGTTGAGGGTCGCATCAATGGACTAGAAGTGTACCATCCATATACCGGCAATATAAATCTATGTTGGTAATGCCATTCATTCTTCAGTGGTCCATATTCTAATTTAGATAAAAAGATATCAACAAATATAGGGCCTAGTAGGGAATCCAATCGCTAAACCGTTTATTTGTTTGTATATTTTTCACTCGTTGAATGAAAATTGAATATTCATTGTGCATGTGACCAGCAACTCCTTTAAATTCTTAATAGGGATACCTGTATAATACATTTTCCTTACTGCCAGCCGTTTGCATATTATAGTTCACAGTTCTAATAAATAAAGATGTCGCATCAAGGGATGTTATTTATTCTGTTGACAAACTGAAAAGTGTCCTTGACACTATGTCTGCCTAGTTCGTCCCATAAAGGCTGTAGCAGTTTTACTAACTAACCACTTTTCAAGCCCAAATTATACCTCTCTACTAGTAAATCTAACCGTAAAGAGATAACTTACAGATGACTAAATCCATAAATAACTATTTGAGATGTTATTATTGGAAAAAGTAACCTTAGTGTTGGATTGATAATGTTTCAGTTTTTGAAGCACCTAATCTTCTTACCACATTTGTTTCAAATGCTTCTTTTTATGAACTTTTTTTCTTTTTTTTTCATTGATATCGTTAGATATCGTCATGAATGTGCAGGTTCAGAGCTCTTCAGAGAAATGAAACTGGTAATCGGTCAGTTTGGCGCACCACTTACAGAGCTTGCAAAGGTACTTCTTTTCGTTCTATACCTGTTTCTCATTAAGCAGATGGGATTTTAATTTGTAGGGGTGTAGCTCATGGTTATCAGCCCTCAATTTTGAAGCAATAGGTCCTGGGTTCAAATCGAACCCCACCTACTTCGGTCTACGTACCTGAGAAGTATCTTATACTTTTATATAATAAAGGTGGTTTATAGCCTAGTGAATGAACCCGTGTCGGATTGCGGAGTCGCATTGTTATGATTATCTTTCAACGTCGACCTACTGACGTATATTTCTCTAGTTACCAGATCTCATCGCCTACTTTGTTTCACTAATTTGCTCTTTGTTCTAAACTTCTGGAAACTAAATCAACAAAAAGGGGATTATTGCGTAATGCGAACCGAATGGTTTGTTTGATGGTGTTTGGCGAAAGCCACACAATTATGTAGTAAAAATACTTCCTGGATGACTCAGAGTTCCATTCTTTATCGAATGGTAACTGTCTGTGATAGTGTGATGGGTGCTGCTGATAACAATGCATGTAGAGAGGTCGACAGAAGTCATAGACAACTACAAGTGATCGTTAAATAATCTGCACAGAGAAATGCAAGACATAACGTAAGCTTATCAAGAGCAAAACAAAACAGAAGAAGAGGAAATGAATATTTTGACGGAAGGAATATAGTATTTCATCATCAATGTACAAGGTATGCCACAAACCTTTATCAACCCCTTCAACAGCTATGTCATTCACAAAAAAAAGCTCATTGATGCCTTTGAAGTGAACATAAGAGCAAGACAATATTACCTAATATCACCAATCATCTTCCTGATTGTGGTCAACTGAACTCGATCATGCAGGAAACCGTGAAGAGCGAGAAGATGGGTGAGTGTATGCTGTTTGACCGATGAAAAACCCTAGAAAATTTGGATTTCACAGATGATTTTATGTCGAATGTCGCACAAACTCGAAGATCTACAGGCGAAAACTAACAAGTTGGCAGAAGAGGCGAGGCGAGATAGCGAAGACGGGACTTTAGGTGGATGTAGAGAAGACAGAGGTGATGAAGATACTCAACCAACAACAACAACAATAACAAGCACTAATCACTGTCGATGGGAGAAATCTAAAGGAAGTTGTCCCTTTCACCTACAGGCTGCACAGGCACGGATGAGGATGTCAAAGCCAGGATCGGAAAGACAGCAAGACAGACCTTCATTATTCTGAAATAATCAGTGTTGAGATCTACTACACTACACTACACTGCACTGCACTCAGGATAAAGCGTGAAAAACATCCGAATTTTCAACACTAATGTCAGGCAAGTAACTCAGTGCTTCTATGTGATGGTTGAGAGACTTGGCGGCGCGTTACGAAAAGCATTTTCAACAAACTACAGACATACATGAACAACTGCCACCTACACTCACTCGATACTGAAGATGGAGATCAGATGGCGAGAATAATAATAAGAATAAGCAACAAGGAAGTCACTCTGACCTGGCAGCAACCCAACCAAGAAACATGCAGAAGAGAGTGGAGATGAATTGAAAGCCATTCGGGGATATCACTCGCAAGGCCCTCGAGTAGAATCCAAAGGGTAAACGACGAGTTGGGTGTCCCAGCTGAGGGTGACATGGAGGAGACAGTGTGAGGAAGAAAGGAAAGCTTGTGGGCAATGCAGTGCTGGAGCCAGGTTGAAAAGACTGCAGAGAACAGAGTTCACTGGAGACGTGCTACTGAATCCGTATGTTCCACTAGGAACCCAAGGGACAAATAATAATAATATGTACGAAATGTCGTAATCAACATTCTTCTGAGTTTCACCCTTTGTAGCTTTTTTTACTATAGTAGCTGCGGATTTCATTCATAAAAAGTTTCGCAAGATTTATGAAGAAATTATTTGGTTTCATAACTTATATAAGAGTAAAATTTGAGCACTGTAGCAGAGTATAGTTCCATTATAGTTCATTATTTATTATGCATATGATACAGTGAAACAGGATTATTTACTGGATATCGTTTCGAGCAGAATTTATTGCTTATAATCATATCAAGGTAGTCATATAACGTGGTGGTCTGTTTTCAGTGTTTTACTTTATTGTTCATTCTTTGATTTAATTGGTGCTATAGAGGTTCCTATCCAATCTATTAACCTAAATCAATTTGGTCTGCCGAATTCGATGCCAAAGACAGAAGTCGAATACGTAGGTCCAACTGGTTGACTGCGATCTATTCGATTAGCAGAAAATAGAATCCTAGTCAGTTGTAGAATGGAAGACCTTGACAAGATTAGTTCAGAAAAGACGATGCAAGCTAACACATACAATTACGCAATAGGATGAGACAAAGTGAAAATTTTAACAAGTTACTCGATTAGATACAGAAAGAGGATTGGTAATCGAAGCTTTGTGTATCGAATCGACACCTGACATATGTAACAGGAATGATAATATTTCACGTTGTGTAAAACTTCTTACTACTAATTAAATCAAAAACAGTGGAACTATAAAAATGAGACCAGAAAGATGCGTGACTATACGCGATAAATTGTCCTCGAAATGTCATCCAATATATATATATATATATATATATATATATATATATATAATACGGCTTCATGGTCTCATGTAATAAGGCAATTAGGGTGATACTTATTGTTTATAGGCTTATGTAACTGTTCGGAATCAGGATGCACTCAGCATCAACCTTGTGGACATTCGTGTGGTCTATTTGATGGTGCTAACTGACCGACCAAACCTCAGGAGGTGGAGCGGTATTCGAACTTGGTTTGGAACGTCATCTCCCCAAACCAACCAACCATAGCTCTACTTGATCACCTCTCGGTTTCTTTCGAACTTATCCAATTCCAAATAAAGTTTCGCCTTGTGGTAGACTGTAGGTCAACATATGTGATCTATCTCTCAGCTATTATAGTCTTTTAAGGTGTACACAAAGTTTACGTAGATCTATATCCATCCTGTAACGCTGAAAGTTCAGGTCAATTCGAGGTCTAACCAGTTGAAATAATCTAGTTGATCATTTAAAAAACCATAGGTTATATGTTATTGTTTACATTTCTAGATTTCCTATAAAAGATGATAATAGTTTTTTCTTCTTCAAATATTTTGTTACAGTGTTTCAGTCTATGAGCCTGTATTTGTGTTCTCCTTTGTATATATATATATATATATATATATATATATATATATATATATATATATATATATATATATATATATATATATATTCATTAGGCAGCATTTCTGTCCATGTTGAACACTGCACAGATTACTAATGTAATTTATTGTAAACGTCTTTTAACCAGTGGTTTTTACAGACATATCTAGTCATTCATTCTTTCTTCTTTCTTCATTGTTTATCTCCACAGAATCTTCTTGCATTGGTTGTTGGCGAAAATCGAATTATGGATGGATCACGTTTAGTTACAATTCTTCAATGTCTACTACTTGTCTGTAAAATATTTCTCAGTCTTAATTGTCAAGTAAGTGGATGGTGTATTCACCTTATTATTATTATTATTATTATTATTATTATTATTATTATTATTATTATTATTATTGCCCACAAGCCTTCCTTTCTTCCTCACACTGTCTCCTCCATGTCACCCTCAGCTGGGACACCCAACTCGTCGTTTACCCTTTGGATTCTACTCGAGGGCCTTGCGAGTGATATCCCCGAATGGCTTTCAATTCATCTCCACTCTCTTCTGCATGTTTCTTGGTTGGGTTGCTGCCAGGTCAGAGTGACTTCCTTGTTGCTTATTCTTATTATTATTCTCGCCATCTGATCTCCATCTTCAGTATCGAGTGAGTGTAGGTGGCAGTTGTTCATGTATGTCTGTAGTTTGTTGAAAATGCTTTTCGTAACGCGCCGCCAAGTCTCTCAACCATCACATAGAAGCACTGAGTTACTTGCCTGACATTAGTGTTGAAAATTCGGATGTTTTTCACGCTTTATCCTGAGTGCAGTGCAGTGTAGTGTAGTGTAGTAGATCTCAACACTGATTATTTCAGAATAATGAAGGTCTGTCTTGCTGTCTTTCCGATCCTGGCTTTGACATCCTCATCCGTGCCTGTGCAGCCTGTAGGTGAAAGGGACAACTTCCTTTAGATTTCTCCCATCGACAGTGATTAGTGCTTGTTATTGTTGTTGTTGTTGGTTGAGTATCTTCATCACCTCTGTCTTCTCTACATCCACCTAAAGTCCCGTCTTCGCTATCTCGCCTCGCCTCTTCTGCCAACTTGTTAGTTTTCGCCTGTAGATCTTCGAGTTTGTGCGACATTCGACATAAAATCATCTGTGAAATCCAAATTTTCTAGGGTTTTTTCATCGGTCAAACAGCATACACTCACCCATCTTCTCGCTCTTCACGGTTTCCTGCATGATCGAGTTCAGTTGACCACAATCAGGAAGATGATTGGTGATATTAGGTAATATTGTCTTGCTCTTATGTTCACTTCAAAGGCAGAGCTTTGCATTGTGAAGCACTCGATATGTGATGTCTTTCCATAGCTGATCAGTAAGATAGATGAAGGTTTGTGGTATTCCGCAGTTTTGACGCAGGTGCCAAATTACTTCTCGGTCGACGCTGTCAAAGGCCTTCTCAAAGTCGATGAAGTTGAGGTGGAGAGGTAATTGCCATTCTGTACTCTGTTCTATAATGACGTGAGCGTTGCAATTTGATCCGCACATGATTTTTTCTTGCTGTAGCCAACCGGCCTGTTGCGGTGGTAACTTTGAATCCAGTGCATCCTTTACTCTCTCCAGGATGATGCGGCTACAGATTTTGCTTGGGGTGGACAGGAGTATGAATCCTCGCCAGTTCTTAAAGTGGCTTAGGTTTCGCTTCTTCGGGAGTTTGACAAGGTTGCCCTTCTTCCAATCAGTGGGCAGGTACCTTCCCTTCCTTCCAAACCTTCTGAAGTAGTGGTGTGAACATGTCCGCTGCTGTTGTCTCTGCGTCTGTTTTTAGTGCTTCTGGAGGAATTCCATCCGGTCCTGCTGCTTTCACGGATTTCAGCAACTTTATGGCGTTCCGAACTTCTGCCTTGGTTGGAGGACTTGTGTTACTGGTGGTTCTGTGGCTGCAGGTGGTATTTCTGGACGATTTGCTGGTGGTCGATTCAGGAGTTTTTTTGAAGTGATCAGCCCATCGTTTCCTTTGTTTCGCCTCTCTGGTTTCTTAGTTTTCTGCATTATCTTTCATTGGTTTCGTCTGCGTTGAACTCTTCCCAGATAGTAATCTGGTTATTTGATATTCTGTTGTCTCCTACATCCATCCTTTTCTGTTTCAATTGCCAGAGTGTCGTAGATGTGTCTTTTGTCTTTCCGTGCACTCTTATTCACTTCTGTATCCACTGTAGTGTTTTATAGGTTGTGTTCATATATATATATATATATATATATATATATATATATATATAGAGAGAGAGAGAGAGAGAGAGAGAGAGAGAGAGCTTTTTATCTGCTAGTTTAGGAGCTATACATTCAATCTCTCTACTGCTAATGTGGATTCTATTCTATATTACCATAGTGTAGACATAAGACCAAATGTTTTCACACGATTGGTATTCCTTACCATTTGGGACATCAACCTATTTTTGATGACCACGTTGTAATAATCGAGTGAATTAATACTCCGAAATTTTCAATTTTTCAATTGAATGTTGCTTATCTATGCACGTAATTCCTATCAAGATTCTTAGGTATAATACAAGTAATTGGTAGTGTTTCGATAGCGTAATTACAAGACGAATTTTATCTGAGCAATGTGATGTATTTGCACAATACATTTCGAACAATCTGATCACACATTTACTTGTCAAGTCAATATATATTAAACCGAGGACTGGGAGGGGGGATAAATACAACAATTAACACAATAGGGGATTAAAATTAAGAAAGATGACGACAAACAGGAAGTGACATAGTTGATCCTAATTTTGGTAAGAAAACAAAGTTTACCAAGGTAGGTGTAGTGTAATAACAAACTGTTTTTGTACACATAAAGGTGGTTTAAATTTGTGTATGGCTATGGCTTCCGAAAATCTCAGAATACGTCCCTGACTGTTTCTATATAAAACTTTGAAAGCTGTTTGAACACTAACTTTGTGATCTGTTTCTATGATATGTTTAGCTATAGATGAAGAGGGTCGTCTCCCACCAGCGTTTATCACTGTTTCACACTCCATTTGTTTTTTAAGCCATTTAGGTACATGTTCTCCAACCCTCAACTGCATAACTCGATTACTCCTCCCTATGTATGTGTGACCACACACACATGTAAATTGGTAAACACAATGGGATGTGACGTAATCACTGATGCAGTGTTTAAGTTTTTGGTGAAGCATGTGTTGTTTTGTTTTCTCCACAATGGTAAGATTCGCTGCGTAGTACGTTTTCTCAATGGCTGATGTCAGCCTACGTCTCAAAATGATACTATTTAGTTCCCCTCTGTATGGTAGAGTGATATGGCATTTTTCTTAAGGACCGTGTATAGAGTTGGCTTTGGTGCTACTTGACCTCTAAAACGGTTTGTAAACTTCATCGGATATCCATTTTCCATAAGTGCTTTGGTCAGTAATTTCCTGTCTTCATCCATCGCATCTAGTATACTTATACCATAGATCCTGTTAAACAAGCATTTTACTAAACCTCGCTTGTATTGGATTGGACAAAAACTGTGGAAATTCAGGTATTGTCCTGTCCATGTAGGCTTTCTGTAAACTGACCGTCTTATTGAACCATCTTCTCGTCGACTGAGAAGTATATCTAAAAATGGCAGTTGATTACTATTCTCTTTCTCACATATCAGGCTGATGTGTGTTTGTACGGCGTTAAGTCTATTTAGTAAACAAACCATATCCTCATGCGTCTCACAAATCACCATGATGTCATCAACATATCTCTTGTAAAGAGGAACTTTAGCGATGAGATCGCCAGCCAGATTTTCAATATATGACATAAATATCAGCCAGTAGTGGTCCCAAAGGACTACCCATAGCTACACCGTCAACTTGTCAAAAGCGTTCACCTTCAAATATGAAGTGGACTTTGTCGATACACAGCAATAATAGCTCCTTCAGAAACGTCGGAGTAATAGGAAATGGGAGGTTTTTTGAGGATATATAGTCACAGAGAATGCTAATAGTCTTGGACAATGGCACGTTAGTGAATAAAGAATTTACATCGAAAGAGTATATAATCTTGTTTTTTATATTCATGTTACTAAGACAGACAACAATTTGAAAAGAATCTTTCTATGGAAACCTACAGAATTCGTTTCGAACTGGATTTAACATTTTTACCAACCATTTCGCCAGTTTATGTGTGGGGGAACGACACATAGACAATATAGGGCGTAAGGGAATATTAGCTTTATGAATCTTAGGTAATCCATGTAAATCTGGAAATTCGGATCCTATAGGTTTCAATGAACTAAATTTATCTTTGCTAATGGCATTCATATTCAAAAGTTTTACTAAGTGAGTGGTTACTTTTGCTTCCAATTTTCTAATATCTTCTGATGGGACATCGGCTATGAATTTGCTTTCATTGCTGAGGATGGATAGCATTTTATTTTTATAGTCAGACTTATTCATCACAACGATACCTGATCCCTTATCGGGTTTAAGAATGATTATATCCGATCTGTTCCGTAATTCTCTCAAAGATTTGAAGTGCTGTGAACTCAAAATGCTTCTTTGTCTTGTTTCTAAACTATGGAATTGGTGAGCAATATCAACTAATTTAGCCTTTAACCAACCTTGGTTATCTGAAGATGTAGGGACAAGAGGGCTAAATTGGTCATAGAGATTTTCAAACTGAGCATACTCATGCTTCATGTGTATTGTCGGATATTTCTCTTATATGCCACATTAAATTAATCAATTTTTGTAGCTCCGTAATCAATAAAACGAAGGATAGAACAAGGCAAAAATTGTCTAGATCCTTTTCCATTGACATTCATGCAAACTCATTTCATGTCTCCCAGATAAATATGTGACTAATTTGTCCTCTGTTGTACTTTCAATTCATGAGAAAGAGGCGCTTTCCCTTGGATTCAACTTTTCAGTTCCATACACGCAAATCTCAATTGGATATTGATGCTCAGTTTGAAAATCTCTATGACCAGTTGAGTCCCCTTGTCCCCCCTTGTTGTATTTATGCCCCCTCCCAGTCCTCGGTTTAATATATATTGACTTGACAAGTAAATGTGTGATCAGATTGTTCGAAATGTATTGTGCAAATACATCACGTTGCTCAGATAAACTTCGTCTTCTAATTCGTAGTGTATTCGAATCAGCCACCATCGGGTTTCCAATCCCGTGCTCTATCAACTGTGCTACAAAACGCAGTGGCTAAAATGTAGCGTGTTGGTCGTTGAACCTGAAGATCCTGGGTTCGACCCCTGATGGATTCATGATATGAATGTGGACAGTGAATACCATGTTATTCTTGAGAATCGTCATAAAATTGGTAAAAGCGTGGTTCGTACTCTTAATGAAAAAGTCTTGCTCCTGTGTCCACTGGTCATCATATGCATTATTCTGACAAAAATTCATCTATTCTGATATGTTTTCGCTCTGATTCAACTTCTATTTTTATTTATACAGGATTTGCCAGAGTTCTTTGAGGATAATATGCAAGAATGGATGACGTTTTTCCGCAGTCTCTTACAAATAGACTCTTCAACTCTAAATTTGACTGGTGGAGATGGAGAGAACAGTGGAATAGTCTTAGTTGAACAAATCAAATCACAAGTTTGTGATAATACTAGTTTGTATGCATCTAAATATGAACCAGAATTTGCTCCATATCTCCCTGGATTTGTTACTGACGTTTGGGAAATGCTATTAGGTACCAGTGCTCAAACAAAATATGATTTGGTAAGTTGGTGCATTTTGATTTTGGTTCGGCATTATTATTATTATTATTATTATTATTATTATTATTATTATTATTATTATTATTATTGGGCTATTCAAATCATCGACCTATTTCCTTGTTTAAGAACAAGACGTATATCAGCTAAGAAGACATATTTCTTTTCAACAACTTCATTATCAAGCTGTACAATTGTGTTTATACTCGGTAAAATGACAGATAATTGCACTGCACTAAAAAGAGTTGCTCAGTCAATATTCAAAATATACAATAGGTATTGGTGGTGGGTGGTATTTGTTCAAGTGGAAGAAATTGAAAATGGGTTACTGGATAAAGAGGAACGAATTGATAACAAGTGGTGAGAGGCACATGTTGTCAAAGGATTTTAAAACGGTGATAATTTAGCTGAAATATGCAAAATATGTTAATGAATAAGGAGTGGATTGATATTAAATAGTGAAATGTGGGTCAAATGTTGTCAATGAAGTGGAAATTGATGATAATGATGATGGTAATCAAAGAGAAGTATACCAATGTGAAGTGAAATGAAATTGACAAAAGTAACTAGCAAGGAATTGTTAAGACCAAAGTAGAGAAAGTAGTTTCATAAAACGTTGATGAATGCAAACATTCGGTTTTTGTTCATGCTTCAGGTATGCATAAGTGATGAAAACGTAAACCTTCAGAGTATTTCAATTTAACTTTGTAAATTACTTTAAAGGATGAAACTCGAGGTACTGAATGACCTAATTCCACTAAATGGTCTCATTTGGATGAAGTCGTTTTCCTTCACTCGTCTTTGCTAAGGCGAACCAGGTAATGTTCAGCTACAAGTTTTCGGAGGGCCCACTTACAACGTCTAGTGTGGTCACCTCCATAGGAGCATATGAATTTGTAGATACACATAAATGTGGACAGGCATTGTCGAATCAGCCGGCGGCTGGAGAATATCAATCTCACTCTAGCAACATAGAAGCTATTATTCATACACCTTGAAAGACGGTTTTTCAGCACTTTGGCTTTGGTGTCTCCTTTTGAATTCTAGATTCATGGTTAAGATTTTCTTAGGAACTGTAATGGGATGAAGAGAGTGATTCGTTTCTTCAGATTTTTATCAATAAATCTTTTAGAGTATCCCGCTTATTCGATAGCATTGTTCAACATCCAACATGTCTTCTGAACATATTCTATAGATTCTGGAACACAGTGAATGAATGACATTTCTTTTACAACTAAGAGGTACTCAACTATTAAAGTTAGTGAACTGTCCTATCTAGATTGATTTTTCGATAGACTGATCTTCATCCCTTCTCTTTAACGTTATGTCTAGAAAGTGGAACATTAAATTTAACCCTCCCTCCTTGTTTATCATTATAAGGGTCAGTTTTTTTGGGGGGGGGGTGTATCACACGTTAATTTGAATTGTATATCCATCCAAATACATTTTACGCATTGATTGTTGCCTGTACGTTAACTTCTCTTAACATAACCTAGTGATATATTGTTATTTTTAAACAAATCAAGTAGTTACAATTGGTTTCATAATTTTTGAGCAAGTTTAACAGAGATTTACAGAATTAACGAAATTTTTTTTGCATAAGCTTTCATGATCTATCAACAATCTAAATGTCAGAGGATTATTTTAAATAATAGACAAATAAATGTACTTTAGTTGTTGAGAAAAATTAAGAATTTAGAGATTGAGCAGTGAACCGAAAAAAGAAAATGCAAAGGAACTAAGATTGAATCCCAGAGTCGTTAGAAAACGCTAAAATGTGATTAAAAACCAATTACTCCAGTCAAAAAATCAAAGGTTATCCAACATAAATAATCAGTTTTCAACGTATAACTAGGGGGTTAGTCACGTTTTATTTCTGTCCACAGAGATCAAGCTGGAAAAATTTAACTGTTAGGGTGTCAACAAGGTGCAGTAAATTTAGTAGGATTTTCGTGTTTTTCCTAGTGATATTCGGTTTACATCGATTATTTGATGATTTATCAGAATGTTTTTGAAAAATCGATTGAATGCCCTATTTTCCATTGCTCTGGTTCATAAGTAGATGAGAATCAGTGAATATGGTTGGGAGGTTAATATAAACGAGACGTTTGTCTACTTTGGGTTCAGTGAGTGAACTGCTATCTTGACGTGATGCTCGACCTTGTAAATCACAATGACCCAACAAGTTATGCCGGTAAAATGCATTTTTCTCGAGATCTTACCATACTAGAAAGGTCTGTTGGATAGTGGTTAGACAAAAATCAGTTATCATCATGGTGTAAATCTTTACGCTATGATACGGGGGGTCTGAGGATGAAGTCGTGCTGCTGGCAGCAGTAAGATGTTTTCCTTGGATGACCAGCAGTGTAACGCTGATGCTGCCTTCCGTGTGAGAGGGAGGAAGGTTATGGAAGGTTGGCTGGAAAAATATCACTCCTGTTACCCAGTGGCATGCTGACACTAGCGATGTGGGTTCATAGTTAGATTCGAAAGCAAAAAACTACAATCTCAGATTTCCAAAAAGGCTGTATATGACTTCAAGAAGACCTAGCCTTCTACGGTATGGCCAACCAGAAAGTGTCAACCGCGCTCACACCTCTGTCAACACTCAAGATTTGATTAAGTACATAATCTTTTGAACTTGGATTGACTCAGTGGCAGAAAAACTGTTTTTAAGTGTGTACATCCTTTCTCTATCCATTTCTTCGTATATCTTATCCCTTTGAATACTAAATGAATAAGAATGAATTCATTTTACTCCATAAATAGTTTTTTTATATTTTGACTTGTTATTATTGATCAGAAGTTCCACATAGATCCTTTTGTTTAATACCTCTAATGTCACTTAAAGTAAAGAATTAAATAAGCCTGGTTGTGCACAGTTTAGAATATGTGCAACTTACGAATCATACGCAGCTTTGCTTATTAGGAAATGAATTGCATATATTGTGTCAGGTACTACTGATATTAATTAAGTATCTGGTTCAAACCAATGAGCCATACCTCCTGGTCATCAACATTACCTGTCATCCTATGAATTAGTTTTGCTAACCTGTTTTATCTTAGTAGGTTTCCCCCGCTCTATACACTGTCATTTTGTTAGCGTATCCCCGAGTTGCTAGTCAAGAATTTTTATTCAGAAATAAAGATTAAAAGCCTTTCATCATGATTTGTGTAGTAGTATCAATGGGAAAATTTTTGAACAACATAATTTGGGTGGAATACAACACTTTTAAAGGATAATATTCCTCATGATCACTCATAAATGTTCCGTCAAGATTTTAGATCGCTTTGAATGCATCTATTGTCAGGATAACAATAAACAACCTCATTTCTAGGTTACCATCTTCTAATTTGCAGTGACTTGTTAGTGACTTGGATACCGTATCATTGGTGTTAGAAATGATTACTTCGTTGCATCTCCATAGATTGTCCAGCTCTCAGTCTTTCTTAGACAGCCTCAAACATAATCTAATAAGTTTTACAATTAGTTACAGATAATATAAAAAAGAACGGAGTGGTTTTGTCACTCAGTTACATAGTGTTAGTTGACGAACTTTGTCAAAGGTAAATATTTTTTGCAATGAGTTTTGAAGTGATAAATTGATTACTTCCTGTTGGCAACCATACCTGAAGTTAGAGGCTTAATTTAGGCACAATGCAACTAACAGCAGACATATACTGCTTCTGAAATGAGAATCAATATTGTTTACTGTAAAGCTGTTGGAATATTGAACAAAAGATTAGATGATCACTTCAGGATATAAAATAATAATAAACAACTTCAATGGAACTCTTCATCGTGTTGAATGTATGCAGAATGATTTTCACCATGACTTATTCTTATAAATAAATGCACTAGGCGTGCACTAGGGTATATATGAATGGGAAGGAAACGATTTTCTACTAAATTACTTCTAATAAGTAGTAGAATTATAATATTTCGTTTGTATACGAAAGAAAACCCTTTGCATAATCGACAGGCATGAAGTCATCTACATATATATATGTATATAGCAGGAAAGAGAGTCAGGTGACTGTACTGATCTCGTATTATCGAATAAACATTCTCTAAAGTGCACTCATGTATATGTTTCAAAGTAGATAAATCTTCTTTGCGTCACTTGAAACTGACAGAATCTCAGGAAATCTTTATATATATATATATATATATATATATATATATATATAAGGCGTGAATACACGTAGTGAAATATGCTTTTTGACTTACAGGTAGAGGGTAAGTGGCATGATACGGATTTTTGTAATGGAATTATCTTCTAAGAGTATATTGCTGCCGTCCATCATGTTGAATGGATGGCTACATTCTTTCCAGTTTGACAAAAAAGCGAAGAATATTGATTCTTCTAATAGTTCTTAATTGGCTATCATGCCTACTCGAAAAAAAGTGGACTGGGGAAAGTAACGAGAAAAGCTATTGAATCATTTGCCGCATACAATCTCAGCCCATAGCACATCTATTTTATGGCATTTAAATATGAAATTATATTCCACTAATTGAGTTTCTTTGCAACTTTTTAAAAAAATGTTTTTTTTATTCAGGATAAAAAAAAGATAAATGATAGCTATTAATAATGATCTTTGTGTTCTTGTTGCTTACCTACATTATTACAGCTTATTGGAAATGCAATCAGTTTCTTAAGCTGTGTAATATCTCGCCCACAACATAGATATCTGTTTGAAAATCCTGAAACTTTACAAAAACTTTGTGAAAAAGTCATTCTTCCTAATATGCATTTTAGAGGTAAGCGATAATGTCTTCATCTTTTCAGATACTTTTTTTTAACGCCGTTACTTGTTTATTCACTAAGATGATTGTTTTGAGAAGTCTACTCTTTGTAAACCCTTTTACAATTGTACCCCACTCTCTGCAGCATAACAGATAGATAATAATAATAATAATAATAATAATAATAATAATAATAATAATAATTCACCCTATTCCAAACAATTTGTGATACACTTTGGAATTCTCAGCGTAATATATATTGCAATAACAACAAAGTATATTTATATATATACACATACTCCTTTATAACATTTCGAATTGTTTTATTGTAAAAATTTATGTGAAGAATATTGCAAACGAGAACAATGTGCATTATAAGTTAAATTATTGAAATGAGATTTTTAACTGTCACAAAGTTGATGTATGATTTCTGTCCCAACACTTTTTTCCTCACATACATAATACAGTCGAATGCTTATACTTAACTGTACGAGCATACAGTCTTATGTAGTTAGTTTCTCCTTGTCCCCCCTGACGAGATACATGGAGAGAGCTGTGAATGAAGTGGATGCTGACTGTCAGTTAAAATTTCTGTAGCTAGTAGCTTGCAGGAATTTGTATGTCGATCAGTTGAGTCAGAGACACACCACTCACCCTGTTGACGGCCTTCAAAGCTCCACACAACCTAACATTAACATAGTCCGTTGTTAGGAGACCAGGAAAGAATAATGGGGAACAATGAAGAGAAGTAGATAAAATGCAGGAATTAATAAATTGTAAAAGAAGCAGTTGAGTTATATACCAGAAAGCCTCTGTTTCTTTATGTAATAAGTTGAACGGAAGATTTTTTTACAAGTCAATAAAATATGGGACGACCAACAAAGGTCAGAAGTGAAACCCAACCCAAGATAGTTAACACTCGATTTACTTACTCTCTGCAAAAATACCATCAATGCAGTAGGCGTCATGAGATTTAAGCAGCTCACATAAGTCTTGTTTACACCTGAGGCCAAAATTAGTCTGAAATTCAGAGGGGTTTAGTTTGAGGCCATTTGAGAGAGACCATTTACCAACTTCAGACAAGAATTCATTTGATTTCGAGCAGTTCAAAGAAGAGTTGACTGGAATAGAAATCGTCAGGTCGTCAGCATACTTGATAAAGTTAGTTTCAACAGAATAAGGTGAATCGTGCAAAAGAAACGAAAACAGAAAAGGAGGAAGTACAGCACCTTGAGACACACGAGCTGCAATAAGGAATGAAGTCGAGTGCATCCCTTTATGGATAGTGTATTGTCTCCTTTCAGAAAAATAAGAATACAACCACTTTGTAACCGATGGCTCAGTATGAGCAATGGCAAGTTTATTTAACGAGAGTGGTCTAAGCACAGAGTCAAGGGTGATGAGCAATCCAACAAGGCATAACAAACATCCTTAACACCTTTGTTGGGAGTAGAAACAATATGATGATGCAAGACAATGGCTGCATCTAAACTACTCCTCCGGTGTTTCTAAGTTAACTGTCTTGGATCTCTGGAAACCACCAATGAAGGCTCAATCACAAGGAGAAGTAATTTCTCCATTGTCTCCACAAAAGGGGAAGTTATGGCGATGGGTCGAAAAGTAACATCTGATCCAGAAGATGGCTTAGGTTTATTAATACCTTTTATTCAGAATTATAAAAGTTGGTTGCTTGTAATTTTCAATGGTAATATTATTGTTAAGGATCAAATCTACTATTATTGTATTCATTGTCTGAAGTTTTCTTTGAAACTTTCACTTGAATTGCAAATACAAACATTTGTAATGTATTAAGGTTTGTATGATACTTTGCTATTGATATTAACTTTTTACTGGGACAGACATCCCGATTCATGACTTTCTCTCTTGACTTTTATCTGAGTTCTCTACAATTTTCACTGCATACCAAAAAGTGTGGCTTGCATTTGCTTCTTGTGCTGCCATTGGTTGTCCTATTCGACCTTGATCAAGTTTCACGCATTGGTCTGGGGATTTCAGATGTAGTTGTCATCATCATCGTATAGCTTTCCTGTTAGTTTTATTCATTGCCAGGAATTAGGTCTTTCAATCTGATCTGTGAAAGGCAGTCTGATATGACTCATTGTCTCTGAAGGACTCAACTCTCAAGTAGTAGGCCCAAGGCTTAAAATTCTGTTCAAGTGGATAGTATCATAAGGCGTCAAACGTTAAGTGTAATTCAGAGCCTAGTACGTGAATGCGTGCCGAGTGAGTTGCAATACAGAATATTAAAAAAACTGTGCTAATTGGTTGGTTGAAGGTAGTCAGCAGAAAGCCGTGATTGACTTAGGTTTCCTGCTGTTTGGCACTCGTCGGGAAGGTGTATTTGCAACTTCAAGGGAACTGATGTCTGGTCTGTGATTCGAACTTACGTCAGTCAGTGCCTGAGCGGGAGACGTTAAAACCGAGTTATTTGGATCGCAATTGACTGCATACAACACTGGATTAGATAGATTGATTGACCGCAGAACAGCAACTAGTCTCATGTTGTCTAGTCCTAAGTGGTGGACTAATTCTATCCATCAAAGAACCACCATTGTATTGCATTCAGATATACTAATTAGTGCATCAAATAGTAACTCAGTGACGTTATCATGAGTTCCTTCGAGGTGATATAAAATCATCGATAGGATCTGGTCAGCACTCAAAACTAGACATGGAATCAGTTACTCTCCCATGACCATTCGATGTATAAAAAATCTCATGCTTTATGACTTTGGCTGTTACGATTTAATTGGTGATATTTTCACTATCTATTCACCTTTATCATATTCCAGCTTGATTTTATTTTCAGCATTAGACGAAGAATTGTTTACCGAAAGTCCCGATGAGTACATACGCTTAGATTTGGAAGGTTCAAATGCACAAACACGACGAAGAGCAGCATGTAACCTTGTGCATGTTTTGTGTGAAGCTTTTGAAGGTCCTGTGGTGACGAATTTCGCGACTTATATTGATCATTTGTTGAACGAGTATGCCAGTACACCGAATGGAGGAGCATGGACGTCGAAAGATGCTGCCTTATTGTTAGTTACCTCTGTAGCAAGTCGTGGTAAAACAGAAAAGGTATGGTATTTTGAGGTTAATGTAAATTTTCTGCTTTAGATGTAGCATTCATCATGGACTTACATCATTTGGAGAACCAATGAAAAGCTGGGAGCATTGGACAACAATAAGCATCCATGACCACCTGCCAGGGATCGAACTCAAGACCATCAAGTTTCACAGCGAGCGCCTTCATCATTCAGCCATTGGGTCAGTGGTCTACAGTTTTCTACTTCTATCAATTCGTGATATGGTGTAGCTGCCTTTCAACGTCCTCAGTTGACATCTGCTTCATATTCCTAGTTGGGTCGTAGGTGCGTACTGCTTTCCAGTGCTCCCGTGTGTTTAATGGTTCTCTAACTGGTGTAACTCCGTGATGAAGGCCACCTTAAACAGAAAAGGTGTTATTATTATTATTGATAAAAACACTTTCATTTGTGTTGAAAAGACTACACTTTTTATCAATACACAAGCGCACGTGTTAGCAAGAAAAAAAGTGTAGCGAAATAACTTGTTTCATCTTTTTAAATGCTTTAATGAACTATCCTTCATAAAAAAATGGTTATTTGCCGTCAGTAATGCTGAAGTTCACTTGGATAGACAGTGGTATCTTAGTTTCTGATTGCATATTCTGAGGTGGTGTATGGATAATTAGATAGTCTTACCAGCATATGAAATTTTAGATGTTTACTAGTTTGTGTTATATTAACTTAAGCTTATTATCAAGGAAAATACCTATACAAGTTATAAGAGAACTTAACGCTGTGTGTGTTATACACTTTCATGACTGTAAAGTTCATTGTGATAGAAATGACTACTTTGTAGGCTTTGAAAATCAACGTAGAAATACTTCATTTGACTGAAGTACCACATTGAAACTGGTCCGTCAAGTTTCTATCTATACTAAAAATGAGTTTTATCCTCTTCTAAATGCAGACAGAAAAACTCAACGTAGAACCGCCCCACCCACCTCCCCCCACACACAAGTACTTCACCTCAAAATGTTACATTTCACAGTAGTATACAAAGAACAGGTGGATAGAAAATGACTAACATCAAAGTAGACAAAGTTGTGTGAGAGAATAAACAATTGAAAGATAACGGAAACGTCAGAGAATGTATAGATGTGCACCATTGTGGCTGGTTCTCACCTTTATCACCAAGAATTCTCAACCACTGTTTCATATAGTTTCGCGGATCTCAGTCAAGGAGTCGACATCTCTCCTCATGGCTCAAATCAACAGTCATGGACTTGGTCAACTGGTGTCAGGTCTCTTTTCCAACTTAATCCAACCTCCCCTAACATGATACGTCGAGGTAGGCAGTAGCTTAGCATGCGTAGAACATGTCCAAAGTATCTCAGTCGACTAAGGTACACAAAAAAAATGACTTTTTGAAAAATTATGTTTTGTTTAAAGTGAATTGTTCCTGATGAAATAAATTAGTTCAACATCATTCAGGGCTTGATTTATTAATATGAAGTATTAAGTGTATAATCTTGTAGTTATCGGTGTATTCCACAATACCGAAGGCTGCTTTCGTCGGATTTTTATATTTTCTAACAATGTATTTGGTTTTTAAAAAATACTTCGTGTTTAGAATTTGTATGTTAATGGTTATATGATATCTCATTTCTTTCATGCTAAAATAGATATATATATATCTCTGCGATTCGTCTAGCTCACAGGTTGCAATTCTAACAAGTTCGAAAGGGTGCTTCACATACTGAACCTTGTTTAACCAGAAGGTGTATTACGATGTGGAGTGTTGTGAGAACAATTGATACTCGAAAGTTGAGATGGTTCAACCCAAGAGAAATCTAAAGATTGGAAATCAACTGAATTTCTAGTATCTTCGATTGAAAACGTTTATTCATAAAAACCGAGCCTATTTATAGAGTTTATAGTAACCTTGAAATGCAAGGAATAATTAGTAGATTTAAAGAGGCAGGTGCCAATCACAACGCTAATGTTTCATACGACATTATGACCCATATGTGGGAAAAAGAGCATGAAGTAAAACAGTTCAGATATACCGAAGTTGTAAGCATAGACTTTTAAGGGATATGTATATATCCATCCCTAACAAGATGATAATGTTGTCACATGGCTTATTATTTGTCTATTTATTATTTACCCCTAAACAATCCATCGTATATAATTAGTTGCATTACACTATATTCTCTTTCTTAATCTGTTTAGCATGGTGTAACAGTCTCTACGGAATTGGTTAATCTAACGACATTTTTTGAAAATCATGTTTTACCTGAACTACAAAATCCTGATGGTGAGTTATTTTTCTTGGTAACAAAAATTAGCTAGAGAAAAACAAAGTAATATTCTATATTAAATTTGTTTATTTAATGTCATCATCATCACTATCAACATAGGACCAGGCATTACTGCGTAACGGTCCGAGTTGCCACACCTCATATCAGCACATCAAGTAAAAAGGTAGTGAGGCGAAGGATGAAGGTAAGTGAATGCGGTCAAAAGAAATATAAAGTACGAGAAGAAAGGAAAGAGGAGTGACAAAATGGTGAGATTCGGTATAGCGTCGTTAAAATGAGGATAATGTGTGTGTATACATCTGTGACACTGACATCGGTTCTCAGCCATGTGATCACCTAGAGTCTCCAACCACTGGTTCCTCTTGTCCTGCGGACCCCAATCGGCTAGTCTACATCGCCCCTATATGACCTGGAACCAACAGTCAAACACTTGATACATTGATTGATGCCATGTTTTAGTGTGGCCTTAGTGTGTGGGGCCTTTTTCCGACGTAGACCTACTTCGACGAAGATTGTGTGACGAGGGAGACTAGAACCATTAGGAATGAATCTCTATCTACTTAAAGTGCAGTGATATGGTGATGTTGATATGGCTTTATGGTTTATAGTTTTACCAGTAGTCTATCACTTAATCATCTGATAGATTTGTCATTTTAATCCCTCTTAGAAGGCATAAACTATCTGGCTAACATTCTTGGAACACCCGAGAATCAAGACTTTTAATTGCTTAAACCTATGACATCATTCATTTCTTTTGTTGAAGATTTTTTCTGATTTTATGCTTCCTTCTGGTTAACTTGTAATATTGAACACTAAATTTCAGTGTACCGCTCTGTCTCGTTTCTAAATTCATCGGTTATATTACAAACTTGATAGACTTCAGTTAGTACTCAGAGATTCAAACTTGACAATCACACTGGTTGCCATTTGATAAATAGTTCATCTAATCAGTTTTACACTAACCACAAGCTGGCTAGTTTTAGGTGTACTATGTCTAATTTGATACAGTGAATTGGATGATATCAACAATGTTGACTTCTGTTGATGGCTGTCAGTAAAAATGTAAGTTAGCGTTGAAGATGTTGTCTAGAAAGACGATGAAAGCTCCATAAATAAACAACCCAGCTCAGAGAACACAATACGACCAAGACCATCCACCTAACTTACAAATATTCCCCATTATTTTAAAATCATACGAGGCATACTGTGTATGCAACATAGGAATATCGTTAAAGGTCACGTCTGGATAGAGTAAAAGGTATCCAATGATCTGTTTTCCTCTTCTTGAGCCAGTTTATAACTACTTATAAACTAGTGTTGGTACACATTTACCAGCAATAATCAGATCCTTTTTTTCTTGTATTTTCTTCTCTGATTTTTAGTTAACTATTTGCCTGTAATAAAAGCTGATTGTCTACGGTATGTAATCGCATTTCGATCATTACTTCCACCAATGGCTTTGGCCAACTTGTTGAATATGACTCCTGCATTACTCATGGCTTCAGCTCCTGTTGTACAAAGTTATGTAGCTGCATTAATCGATAAACTGCTTGCTATGCGACGACCTGATTCACAATCGGATCCTTTGTAAGTAACCTTTATTTTGCTCCTTATCTCTATCTCTCTCTCTCTTTTACATAACTCTGCTTGACTTTTTCCGGTTCCTGATAAAGTGATCAATAAAGAAATGTTTTATTCTTCACAATGTGAACAGTATTCTAAGTATACTAACGAAATAACATTGAGCCAATGGAATATCCAGTTCTTGTCATTCACATGCATCATTATTTCAAGTTGCACTAGTGTGTTCATTTCTATGAGTAGTATTACTACTGTTTCTTCTAGATAGCGGAAATAATTACTACCATTCTGTATTCCGTTTTTTATATGGGTGAAACGAGGTATACCATATAGACTATTAATGTTTAGCCACACAGCATGATTATTCTCATTCCTTATGATATTGTCTCAATTGTGAATTTAAACCATATTCTTTTATGTAATTTCGTTTTAGTCTGTTCATTAGAAATATCACACAGTGAAGGAACAGTATCATTTACTGGATAACGTCTGCGACACAATTTTTTGCCCACATTCATATCATGTAACTCCACAACCTCGAGACAGACTTTACATATTCCTAATTTTCTCTCCTTCTTTGTGACGACAAGGGCAGTAGAATTTTTCATATATCTGGAACACAGGTGCACAATCATTTCTATTACTGCATGCATTTGGTGTCGATTCGATAAACAAAGATTCGGCTATCAATCTCTCCCTCCTTCCATCCAACTAAGTTAGTTTTCAACACTGTCGCCCCATCCCACCCTACTGTGTGATTGTGTGTCATCGCATGCACAGCTATAGCTGAGCTTTTCTCTAAACTTCCTATCTTATTAGGATCTACTTATCTTGATTTAGTCAAGTTTTTGTGCTCTGTTATTCTAATCGACTATTTTGCCCTCGCAATCGTTGCAAGGGATTTGGTAAACCAGATTAATTTGCTTAGTTGTATCGACAGGATATTTTAACCTACAAAGCTTGCTTGTAAACGAGTTTGTTAGTGTAAATACCACTTTATTTTCCCAGCCTAATTGAGAATTCTTCGTAATGCTTCTGAGGTGCCTTTCTTCTACGGTATGTTTAGTTTTCACCTAAATAGCCGTTACACAAATATACCGATCGACATGTTCCTAAAAGCAGTTAGAAATTGGCTTAAGAATGACGATGCTATGGGATCATGAATATACCGTATCGTTGGAGACATATTTTTGGATAGTTGAGAACAAACATTTAGTCCTACTCCAAAGATATGATTCCGATATGTAGATGGTACGTTTACAGTACTGAAGTCGGAATACATCAACAGGTTCTTGGTACATATAAATTCAGTAGTGAATGCGGTATAATTCACCTGTAACTTACAAAGTGATGAAGGTGAGCTAGCAGTGTTGGATTCCAAGATTAAACAAACACAAGATGGAGGTTTGGAGACTAGTGTCCATAGAAAACCTTCCGCTACTTAAACTTTATATCCTCGCATCCGATCCTAGTTAAAGTAGGCTTAGTTAAGTGCCTAAGTGATAGGGCCGAAAAGCTTACTAGTGCACCAGAAAATCTTCGACAAGAAATTAGACACACCAAGAATACCTTGCGTAGTAGTGATATAGGTGTTATTAATAATAGTCCTACTACTGATAGTAAGAATGGTGACAGGGTTGAGAGAGAATTCGAAGCCTCTGCTGTGTTATCATACAAGAAAGGCACCTCAGAAGCATTACGAAGAATTCTCAATTAGGCTGGGAAAATAAAGTGGTATTTACACTAACAAACTCGTTTACAAGCAAGCTTTGTAGGTTAAAATATCCTGTCGATACAACTAAGCAAATTAATCTGGTTTACCAAATCCCTTGCAACGATTGCGAGGGCAAAATAGTCGATTAGAATAACAGAGCACAAAAACTTGACTAAATCAAGATAAGTAGATCCTAATAAGATAGGAAGTTTAGAGAAAAGCTCAGCTATAGCTGTGCATGCGATGACACACAATCACACAGTAGGGTGGGATGGGGCGACAGTGTTGAAAACTAACTTAGTTGGATGGAAGGAGGGAGAGATTGATAGCCGAATCTTTGTTTATCGAATCGACACCAAATGCATGCAGTAATAGAAATGATTGTGCACCTGTGTTCCAGATATATGAAAAATTCTACTGCCCTTGTCGTCACAAAGAAGGAGAGAAAATTAGGAATATGTAAAGTCTGTCTCGAGGTTGTGGAGTTACATGATATGAATGTGGGCAAAAAATTGTGTCGCAGACGTTATCCAGTAAATGATACTGTTCCTTCACTGTGTGATATTTCTAATGAACAGACTAAAATGGAATTACAATCTCCCACAGGGCCTAAGTTTTATTTCTATATTCTTTTATGTAATTGATTACGTTATACGCGGAATAGTCATACTATACGCAATATATAATAATAGAGGAGAATAGGACTTCTTTTCACTGTTAGGGTTAGGGTTCGGTATCCGGCTAAATGACTTGAGTGTGTTTACTTCATAAAGCAAAAACACTAGAAACTATTCACCTTACTAAATCTGAAAATATGTTATTACATAGCTTACCGGACCATTCAACCTGGTTATAGGTTAGTTGTTTGTTCGGTTATTTGTATTCGCTGTATCCACTGTGCGTTTTACTCACCGATGATACATCTAGTGGTAGTTGATATGTTGTAGTAAAGTAGTGTCATCTACCTCTAAACTGGTTTAAGGTTAATGTATTAAGATGGACACAGGCATAATCGGCGTAGAACCTGGTACATAAGTGCATGACGTCAAATATCTACACTTCGCAGTAGTTTTCAAAGAACAAGTGGATAGAAGATTATATGGTAGTAGACAAAGTTGTGTGAGAGAAAAAACAATTTGACTTGTGAATACATCCACGTCACTGTGATAGAATTTTAGTCACCGATTCCTATCGTCTCGGGGACCCAAGGTATATAGTCTACATCTCCTTACGCGGTTCAAATCAATAGTTAATAACTTCAGTGACTAGTATCACGTCTTTTTCTGGCCAGCTTGAATCCTCTTTCAACCTAATCTAGCTTCCTTTAGCATGGCACATCAAGGTAGGTCGTCACTGGACATGCCCTATTACATATCCAAGCCATCCTGATTGATAGGTGTTCACAACTTGCTTATCTTTACCTTCACCTGAATCACAGCTTATTTTGTTATGATTTATAACACTATTCGGTCATGTTAATCGAATTATGCAGACATGAAGTTGAACTTAGAGCTCATCGCTTTGGAAGTCGGTTGTCATTAATAATTGATTAGCTACATTTGTAAATACAATATCGAAAAACACTTAGAATTGTTGCTATTCAATTCGTTATTGCAAACTGTTGATAATAAGCATGAGTATACGTTTTGTTGAATTGAAGTTTAAAGCTACAAATCATCTTGTTCTGTAAATTTCAATATAGAATACCAAAAGAACAAGTAACTGATCCTCAACTACTGATCGACAGGTTATTAGCTATTCTGAATAATCCAGAATATTGTGAAAGCGTTTATGTGATGCGAGGTACGTTAATAGTTTGTCTCCATTTTGTTCCGTTTTCTTTTTGTATTGTCAGTATTTTCAATCTTTATTCAATACACTATCTCATTGAACTTCAATCCAGATGTGAGTTACAGTGCTAACTTCACGTGAAATTGAAATTCGTATATTTCTCACGAATATATATTTACTGTAGTAATTTCTGAACTCCACTGGAGATGAAAATCCACTCAGCAACCTTGTGCACATTCATGTGCGAGGCAATGAGTCAAACCTGTTGTATGAAAATCTACTACACTGCACTACCCTGCCGTGCACTCGGCATAAAGCGTGAGCAAGATGTGGATTTTCAACACTAATGTCAGTCAAGCAACTCAGTGCTTCTATGCTATGGTTGAGGGAGTTGGCGGCGCGTTACGAAAAGGATTTCCAACAAACTGCAGGCATACATGAAGAGGTGCCACCCACGCTCACTGGATAGTGAAGATGGAGATCAGATGGCGAGAATAATAATAAGAATAAGCAAGAATGAACTCACTTTGGCCTGTCAACGAACTAACTAGCTAACTAAGAAGGTATCGCCCGAAGAAATATGCAGTATGAAGTGAAAATGGATTGGATTAGACATACAATGAGAAGAATGCTTTGGGACATGACGCATGAGGCCAGGTCATGTGGTCGAGTGGAAGTGAAATGTGAAACGCCGAGTTGTGCGTGTGAGGGTGACACGGATGAGATTGTGTGAAGAAGAAATGAAGGGTTATGGTGAGTCGTGTAGAGATGTTGAAAAGATTGAAGAGAAGAGAGTGAAATGACTAGGTTGTAGTGAAGTCCTATGTTTCACCAGGAACCCAAAGGGACAAATAAAATAAATGAAAAAATAAATGGGTCTCATCAGTATGCTCTCAACATCACCACTAGGGATTGAACTCACGACCTTCAGGCTTCACTGCGTCTGCTTTATCCATTCAGACACTGTGTCAGAGTCTAATTAATGATGCACAGTTTCCTACTTCTGTCAATTCGAAATACAGCTGAGGAGCCCTATACTAGTACGAAACAACATTTCAGTGCCCCAAGGTTTCCCAATGGTTCCCCAACTGATGTATGAGTCCATGATGAATTCAACCTTTCAATATATGTATCAATCTACTCTATTATAAAAAGCATAGTTGATTTTTTTTTTAACAGATTAATTTCATTTTCATCTCTGGCTGATAATAACTGTCTAAATTATTTCGTTTTTTCTCCTTAGCTCTAATGCGTGTGTGTTGCTGTTTACAAGAACGTTGTCTCCCATCGATGAATTCTCTTGTATCTACTCTACTGGCTCGACTTACACAAGTCACAAAGGTGTGTTTATCTATTGTTGTTTTTTTGACATTTATGTATATATTCCCACAAGTGATGATTAACCAGTAGATACGAATTGCATTTGATACCTTTTTTTTCATTCTAGTTTGAGATATTTTAGCAGGATTCTGTCTTTATCAGACACAATGAAATTAGACACCTTCACATATTAGTTAGTTGGAGGCATTCGGCAGGAAACCCTGGACCTAGGTTTCGTGCTTTTTGGCACTCGTCAGCTAGGCGTATCTGCAACCTCGACGGAACTGATGTCCCGCCTGAGATTCGAACCCGCGTCACCCAGTGTTGTAGTCAGCGACTTTACCACTGAGCTATTCGGGCCGCGACTGACCTCCTGTAGGACTGGCTTACATGTATTGATTGATCACGGGAGTGCAACCAATTTCATGTTGTCTAGTTCTGAGTGCAGATCGAATTCTATCGATCATATTTGTAATGTGGCAACCAAGCTAGGAAGCTCAGCATCACGGTGCACATTAGTAGATGTTAGTTGATTGGAGGCAATCGGCAGGAAACCCTGGACCTAGCTTTCGTGCTTTGCAAATATGATCGATAGAATTCGATCTGCACTCAGGACTAGACAACATGAAATTGGTTGCACTCCCGTGACCAATCAATACCTTCACATATCTTTGTAGTTGTGTTAACTTTAAATCATTAGGTTGAATGATTTGCCTATTTTTATTGTTAATCTAAGTAGATTTGAGAAATATGAACCATTTATTCTTCGACCCCATGACTAGATAGCAAGCTGCTCACTCCAGTCGATGATGATCCTAAGGTCTATCGTGTGTAGAGTGAGGAGGAGTACTTAGCTCATGTGAAATGTCTAGCCTTTAAGATCCGTGTGATATTACTACATTTCATTAATTTTAAAACATACTTTAATGTTATCAAACTAGTGGCTTAGTTAGTGTACAGTCAGTCAAGATGAAAGGATAAAGTTTCATCACTATTATAAGAATGATCTTAGTGGATTCTAAAATATTTCCTACCTTGGTGTAGTAGATGTCCCATTATGATTGAGTTTAATGTTGTTTTTTAAACTGTATGGTGAAGTTGTTGATTCTTACTACTCCTTTAATACCATACTACACTGCTTCGAATAGCCTATATTGTGTTTAACAACTTATTCCAAACGTTTTATTTAAAACACAAACTTGGTATAGGCATACGGATCAGTTAATGGTCAACAATTATTCCCCTTATCGATGCTTTATCTTACTCATTAAAGAAAATTATCCATTAATTGACGGAGATACAGTTAACTGACATAAGTACTCGACTTTAAGTTCAAGGTTCATATCGTGATCCATCTACTTCTTCTATCTAAGCAGTTGGGTCACATCATTAGGTACCATACACTCTAAGTGTAACTCATGATAGCCGTCATCATCATGTCAGATTCTTAAATGCATCAATGACTAAACTGTACACCTCTCAGCATTGAAGAGCTATTTGAAAGCAAGATTATTCTTCTTAATAGGATCCAAATAATTCATATATTGTTTAAGTGAGTGATGTGTGAAGAGTTTGTTCACTGTGTCTTGTCACAATCTGGCATCAACTAAAGAATCTAATCAGAGACCGAAACGGTTGATTACCGCTTTAGAATCTAATGCCGTCGAAATTCTAGTCTTATAGCCTTGTCTAAACGTTTTCGATTAGGGATGATGCAATGTTGTTAACCAGTCTCAAGTGCAACAATCTTTATCTCCATGTTTTACTACTACTTCTAGTTTTCAATGCATATTTGCCTTCTTCTACCCCCTCCCCCTCATAGAATCCTTCTAAACCAGATTTCAATCATTTCCTATTCGAAACAATATGTTTATGTATTCGTTTGACCTGTGCAATCGATCCTAATTCAGTTCTACACTTTGAAGCAGCATTCCTACCGATCTTTCAAGATATTCTACAACAAGATGTTGTTGGTAAGTCAGTCTTACAGATTCACCTTCCACAATTTCTTCTTTCTTTTCATGTCTTTAGCGCAAAGTCTCTAGTTGAATAAACACATTCTAGTTTATGGAGAGATAAAAAAGTTTGACTTTTTGTATAGGCTATCAGTTATAATATTGTCTTATGGGATCGAACTGTACTCTATCAACTTTGATTAATGCAGTCAACTATTATCATAGAATAAAAGATAATCTGAAAATTCTATAGTAATGATGGATAGTAGCTAGCAGTGGAGTCCAGGATGCACATTTCGTCCTATTTAGGACTCGTCGACTGGATGTACCTGCCTCCCAGTGAGTGATGTTATTCCTACCAGGATTCGAACTCGGGGCCGATCTCTTCAGACGCCAGAGCGTTATCCACTGAGCCACGTTTGCCACTTCTTGTACGACGGGTATAGTTTTAGTGTTATTGCTTGTATAATACCATCGTTGATTGGACCGAATTGATCGGTCCCGAGTTCGAATCCCGACGGGAACAACACCACTCACTAGGAGACAGGTACATCCAACTGATGAGTCTTAAATAGGACGAAGTGCATATCCTGGATTCCACTGCGAGTCATTATCCATCATTACCATATAATTCAAAACACAGGCAATCTCAAGGCATCCGTGCTCAAGCCCATATGCCAATAGAGACCTATCATTTCGGTCCAATCACCGACGGTATAATGCAAGCAATAATACTAAAACTGAAAATCCTCCTTTTTTTCTCGTCTATAGTCAATAGAATCAAGTGAACAATTTATTGTTTTCTGAGATTGTAAACATAACACCAGAACAGCTAAAATACCTTATTAGTCGATTTCTGAGTAGACTGGTAAAATTTCTTCCTAATATAGATATGTATAACAATGACTGATATGCAATGTTAAACAGAAGAGTATGTTTAACCACTTCAAGTTTTGTTTTATTGAATGGTAATCATTTCCTTATAATCTTGATATATGGAATATAAGGTTGCGGTTGCTGCTGTACAGTCGTTGAAAATTGCTATCTTGTTATATAGTGAAGTCATTGATGGTTGCTTTTTTTGCATTTAACACCATCTAATACAATTAAGTTGGTGTATGCTTGTTTCTAGTACAGAACGGTGAGTTTTTTAAACTCCAAAGAGGGAAGTCGAACTTTCTTTAGGCTTATTGAGTTATACTCGGCATAGAAAATGGATGATACAGTTAGTTATGGTGTTGAATCACTGACTACTTAAGGGTTAATAAGTAGGATACAATGAAATTGTTTTAATTTCATGTACGTTTTCTCACACCTGTCAAATGTAAGATGACTGGACTGACTACTCACTGTTTGATCATAGAGAGTGAAGTAGTGGGATGTGTTGACCACTTTACTTACTTAGAGGAGTTACATCAGCCCCAAGAGGCTGGTTGCTGACGAAATCTCAACTCGGATGCAGATAGCGCGTTTAGCATTTACCAACCTGCGTTGTCTGTGGCACCGACTGGGGAAATGATTTCTGACTATCTATCAAAGGATGAGTATACTGCTCTGTGCTCCGTTCTGTCCTGTTATATGGCTGTGAGATATGGCCGTTGTAAGGAGAAGACATGAAGCGCTTATAGGGTTTTGATCACTATTGTCTTATCGTCGTTCGCGTATGGTCGAATCACCATGTGAGCAATGTCGAGGTTAAGCGAAGAGTGCACTAGATAACACAGGGAAGTCAATTGATGAAGTTTATAACCTTCATCGTCTAAGGTGGCTTCGACCTGTACTACGCATGCCAAGCCATTGCCTATCTCGATGTGCCATGCTAAAGGTCGTTGGAAGAAGGTTGAGAGTGACCTGTGCCAGGACGTGGCACCGGTCAGTGAAGTCCCTGACTGTTGATCAGGGTTGTGTGGGGAGATGTAGACTGCCTGACTGGAGTCCTTTAGGCGATAAAAATCAGTAGTTGAGGACTCTTGGTAAGCTGGTTGAAAATCGGTCTCAGTGGTGCAGATGTATTCACTCTCCGACGTCTTCCAAAGCTTGAATATTTGAACTTATCGTTACCTTTAAATTGTTTATTCTTTCATACAAGTATATCTACTTTGGTATGAGTCTTTATCCATCCATCTGTTTACTTTATACAACGATGAAGTGTGGATATTTCAGGTGATACACTTATGTGCGAGGTTTTACGTTGATTTTTGTCTGTCTGTCATGTAAGCTTGTCGTCTATCCATCTGTATATGCAGAACTAAGTTAGTTGCATATTATCCTGTGGAAATCTGAGCACGTGAGCATTTATGTGTAATGATTAAGGTAAGCATGTATTACACACTTCGGCTAATTTTTTTTAAAATTGTCATTTTTAATTACGTTCCTTTCTTGATTATGTAATTTACAATTGTCTAACTATGCTTTTCTGTGCTTTATTCTAGAATTTGTACCATACGTTTTTCAATTGATAAGTGTTATGCTAGAACAGTATCCATCTTCTCAAACAGTTCTAACCAACTGTAAATCACAGTCTGTAGTGAATGGTACTACAGGGAATTCAAACAATCTTCGACCTTCACAGGCTTATTCTGCGCTACTCCAAAGAATTCTTGTCCCATTTCTATGGGAACCGAGTAGAAATGTTCCTTCACTTGTCCGTCTGTTGCAAGCCTATCTTCTACATGATATAGATGATGTATTAGCAGAGAATAAAGTGAGTTCGTTGATCAAACTGCTTTTAAAAATGAAGGCGTTTTTCCTAGTTTTGAACTTATTATGTAATTACCAGAGCTTTTTTAGTGTTCACTGTGAGTTCTTACTGTCGATGTCACGTTTGTTGTAACTTTCATGATAAAAAGACATTGCAATGTGGAATCGTACACCGCTATGTTTACTGAGGTGTAAAGATAAAGGACACTACACTCACTTCACTGAATCATCGTAAGATATGACTGAAGTGAGAAGGTAGAAAAGTTACTTTACACTATTGAAAAACAAAAAGCTTGATTTTCTGTGCATATTACCGTCATTTAACCACGCCGTCTGCAAGAAAAGAACATGCTTTCTGGCTATACCACTTTGTCATCTTTGTATGGTATCACATCGTTGTTATTCAGGTGGTGAGATGACTTCAAATCAGTGTATTTACTTCCTGTGTGAATTGATTGGTGTAGCGCGTATGACACATAGTAAGGGAAACACTATACTAGTCTACAGTTCAAATTTCCAATGAAAAAGTAAACATTAATATTGGTAACACTATCATTAGGTGTTCATGTTTATCATTATTGAAAAATGTACACTTAGCAACTTTGTGTACATTCATGCAGTAGGCAGTGAGCCGGACGTGTTGTCTGAGGGCTGCTCAAACTTTGGTAAGCGGTGCGGTAACCCGTGACTCAATGGTTGGTAGTCATCTCCCTGAACCACAGTCCAACCGTCATTATTATGGGTTCACTATTCGTTTCAATGATACCCAATGATATTATGATCTCTGCTGCCTAAAATGTTGGTCTTTTTTATTCATTTTGATGTGGTGCATTGTTACAACAATAAATTCAGGTCAGATAGCATCAGTATGCAACCTGTCATCAACATATCAAGATGGAAGGCTTCGAAATCAAAGATAACCAAACAGGGGGAAATGTAATCAAAAGTATCAGAAAAGAAAAGCAATAAGGGATGAAAACAATGACGAAATTCTTAGTAGCAACTGAAAATGATATGTGGATACATCTGTGTCGTTGAGATAGATCCCCAGTCATGCTGCTTAGAATCTCCAACCACCAGTTTGTATCATCATACAAACCACCAATCATATAGTTCACATTTTCCCTTACGGCTCAGACCAACAATCAAACACCTCTGGGACTGATGCAACAATTTAGTCCGACTGCTCTTAATCTTTTTCCAGCCTTAACCGAATTCACCTAATATTGTGCGGCAGCGGGATAGACGGTGACTAGGTATGCGTAGTACATGTCCCAGGCATCTAAGACGATGAAGGCTAACAATTTCACCAACTAAATTACCTATGTCGTCTAAAACTATACACCTGACATCTGCATTACTGACGTGGTAGTTCCAGGACACGATATATACAACAAAGGCTATAGTGGTCGAACACCTAAAATTTTATTTCCCATTACGTTTAATAGTCATGTTTCACAGCCATAAAGTAGAACGGAGCAAAATTCAACCCAGCACACTAGTTCCTTAATGTGCGATCGCATATCATGCCGACATCCTTGATGGCATAAGTTGACAAACACCAATTAAGCTTTTTGTATATTTCATGGGATTGCTAACCAACTAAAACTGATCGAACTTCCAAGTTACTCAACGCGTGCAATCACTTCATTATCTATAATCAGACAAACTGTGAACTCAAACCAGTCCTGGATAAGCAATTCACAGTTGCGTGGTAAAAAATGCATCCTACAAGCATTCTAAAATTACCATTTAAGGTGTTCAAGTGACTCTGCATCTTACCAACATCACTTAACATGACTATGTCATCTGCATTTTCTAAATCTACTAAGGATTCCATTGTCATCTTTGTACTTACTTGAGTATTGATGAATGAATCAAAAACTGACAATCACAGTATGTTTTTCTATGCTGTAAACTGAATTATGACTTCTATACAACACATGGACAATTACTCGATATAACGTTTAACTACATTCATAGAAAGCATACTGTCAACGCATTTAGATTCAGTTAAGGTAAGCAATATTTCAAGTTGTTATTCATCGTAGACTGACATCAGTTGGAGGAACAAAGGAAACCTGGGAGCACTGGACAGCTGTTTCGTCCTAGTATGGGACTCCTCAGCAGTGCGTACCCACGACCCCACTAGCAGGGTGGTGCAGTCGGTGTAAGCAATATTGTAAAAACTATTGCTAGTTGTTTTTTCACAGCAAAACCTTAATTATCATTAGAGTTGTGATTCTAATTCTAAACAGACATTTTTGATTGAGTAGTGCATCCCTTTGAATTGCCTTGCTTATAAGATGGTAAGGTCAACTAATTATTATAAAAAGACGATAACTATTATGGTGAGATTTCGGAAAGAAAAAACTACGAAGGTAATCATGAAATAAAGTAAGACGTTTAGTATGAATAAGGTAGACAAGAAATTGATTGTCCACTGCCTCCATTTGAATAAGAATGTAATGTAATTCAACTCCGTACAATTTATCTATCTACTAGACTATGAAACACACCTGTTGTATGAGGGCTTATTTTGTCCAGACCGGGTTCGAATTGGAGACCCATTGAGTCAGAGTTCGAGTTCTTAAGTTGATGAGCCATCGGGGTTACTGTTCAAACCATATCACTTGATACTGCATTACAAATGATCCTATAGTCATTGGTTTTAGCAAGTCAGTGTCATAAATCGTCATACATTGAGTTATGACTCATAGCTTAGTGTTTCAGTCATTGATCTGGATAGTCGAATTTCCAGCATACTGGTTGCACGTCAGAACTTCACTCCAAATCTATCATGGTTTAAGCAACCAAGTTGTATCGTTCACCCTCGTATATAATGTATGTATCTGGTTGCCTAGTGCCCCTTTTCCACTGCGTACAGCTCGATCTGCAGTTAACAGCTGACTTTCTCTTTTACAGCTTAATTGTTTCCCTTTTTTCATTACCCCAGGGTGAAAACAGTAGTATCATTCTCGAAGCCTATCGAATAAGTGATCTGTTACTCTATCTTATTGGACCATTTCTTTCAATTATAACATATGTTTGATGAGTTGTAACTTGTTGGCTTAGATCATGGAGCAAACTGTGAGGGGCAAGAAGAGGGGCATACGCTGGCTGGACCGATGAAAAGACCCTAGAAGACTTGGATTTCGCCGATGACGATTTATGTCTAATGTCTTGTGGCACAAACTCGAAGATCTGCAGGCCAAAATCAACAGGTTGTCAGAAGATGCGAGGCAGCGAAGACGGGACTACAGGTCAATGTAGAGAAAATAGAGGTGGTGGAGATACCCAACCACCACAGACGACAACAATAAAAAGCACCAATCACCATCAGTAGGATAAATCTGAAGGAAGTTGTCTCTTTCACTCACCTAGCTATCTACCTAGGCAAGGTAGCATTGTTTCAACTACATGCTGCACAGGCACAGATGAGGACGTCAAAGCCAGGATTGGAAAGACAACAAGACAGGCCTTCATTAATCTTCATTAACCTGAAATCAATGTGAGAATCTACTTCACTGCCCTGCCGTGCACTCGGCATAAAGCGTGAACAAGATGTGGATTTTCAACACTGATGTCAGTCAAGTAACTCAGTGCTTCTATGTGATGGCTGAGGGAGTTGGCGGCGCGTTACGAAAAGGATTTCCAACAAACTGCAGGCATACATGAAGAGGTGCCACCCATGCTCACTGGATAGTGAAGATGGAGATCAGATGGCGAGAATAATAATAAGAATAAGCAAGAATGAACTCACTTTGGCCTGTCAACGAACTAACTAGCTAACTAAGAAGGTATCGCCCGAAGAAATATGCAGTATGAAGTGAAAATGGATTGGATTAGACATACAATGAGAAGAATGCTTTGGGACATGACGCATGAGGCCAGGTCATGTGGTCGAGTGGAAGTGAAATGTGAAACGCCGAGTTGTGCGTGTGAGGGTGACACGGATGAGATTGTGTGAAGAAGAAATGAAGGGTTATGGTGAGTCGTGTAGAGATGTTGAAAAGATTGAAGAGAAGAGAGTGAAATGACTAGGTTGTAGTGAAGTCCTATTTTTCACCAGGAACCCAAAGGGGCAAATAAAATTTAAAAAAACTTGTTGGCTTAACGCAAATAAAATGTAACACTCAGATTTGTATTTTTTTTTTCTAATCATTCTTCTTGTAGCTGTCACCTATACTTGGAGTATTTCAAAAATTAGTTGGCTCTTCAACAAATGATATTCATGCATTCGCCTTACTCAATGCTATTCTTTTGGCTGGTCCAAAAGATATCATGATGCCGAATTATTTCCGTCAGGTATTTATGGTCATCTTTCGCCGATTACAAACTTGTAAGAAGGAAAGGTTTATGAAAGGTTAGTCTAGAACCTTTTTTAAACTGTGCACATATTATTATTATTATTTCCACTAGTAGTGTTATTCGCTATTCTTGCTGTGCCTAGCTTGAAACTGATTTGCTGTAGTCTACAAAAGTATTTATTACTGTTATTATGCATCAGATACAATGATAATTGGAATGTTTCACTTTGGATTGAATATTCAACTAACCATTGTGTAAGTTACGTCGCCCACGTGTGAAAAATAGGTTCTCTGTTCAGCCAATATTTTCATGTCCTATATCACTGGCTTACAGCTTCTACCAACCTCAAGTATCATTCATAATTGAATATGGTCGCATAGAAGTTGTGTCTTTATAAGTTTAGATGTGCCTCAGAAACTTGTACTCTCTATGAGTCGAACTGAAGACCTTCTAAATCCACGGTCAACACGTAAACCACTCAGCCACTGTGTTGAAGTTTAATGGTTCACAGTTTTCAACTTCTGTCAAGTCGAGATGTTGTGTAACCATAATCTAAGGTATTCAGTTGGCGTCCGCTTCACTTCCTACTGGTAAACCCCATAAGTCATGGCCTGGCACTAGAACTTCGTGACATCCATCTAGGAACATGTCACTAATCAGTGATGTATTTTGAGGTTAGTGGGGATTTTTTTTAAGGACTGACATCAGTTGGAGAGCCATTGAAACCCTTGACGCACTGGTACATGTAGTGACTAATAAAATGCTTAGATGTGTAAAACTGATCAGTAATATAGATACGTCTGCATCACCGTGATTAAATTTTGGCCATCGTACTCAAAGTTCTCAACTGCTGAATAATTCCTACCAATAGAAAACGTTATGGATTAGTTAGTGCAGACTTACCTCACCTACTTACTCATCATTCTTAATTATTCCTATACTCCAGATTTCAACACTGTCCATTCTGTAATTCAGCTGAATGTGGCCAATGCTTTAACGATATCTTTGATGGGTATGGTTGTCTATTGTAGAATAGCAAAAAGCAGACTTCTGCACAGTGTACAGGCATGCGAACTAAAGATACTTACTTTCTTCTAGTTTTTTCCGAGTGTAGTATAAATTTTAATGTCATTCTGGTGGATACACAGCTGTGTAAAGTGTAATTGGAAAAAGAAAGAAAATATACTGTGTATTCACCACTGCAGATACTAACCCCGTATCTCATATGTTCCTTGAAGTAGTTGCTGCCACCGAACCTTAAGAGAAATTAATTACGATTAACGGAGTATTCATGTTCGGAGGTTTATGAGCAGTTATCTATTCATTTCAGGTTGATATTCATCATGAACTGACATCCCTTGCGAGGGCATGGGTGTGCACTGCTGAAAGACCCTGTACCAAGACAAAATAACTGTCTAGTGCTACCAGGTTTCCAGTGTTTCTCCAACTGATGTCAACCCGTGGTGAATATCAACCTAAAATCAATAAATAAATCTCCGGAAACGTCCAAATTAACTTGCCTCTAGATGAGGAAAAGTCGTAACCGGTGGGTTAATCAAGTTGGACGTGAAGTCAGTTACTCAACGACACTAGATGCAAGTCGGGATACATTATAAACTGACAGAAGTAGGGAATATGGATCATTGGATTCTGAGCTAGTGGCTCAGTGGTAATGTTCCTAGCTACGGAACCTGAAGTTCCTGGGCTCGATTCGTGATGGAGTCATTGGGTGCACACTCCTTAGTAGTTGCATACTAGGACGAAACATCTGTTCAGTTCTCTTAGCTTTCCATCAGTTCTCCAGCTGATGTCAGTCCATGATGAATCCCAACCGGAAGTACTCTGAGATTTCTCCTATCTCGTATTCATGATTGTTTACACGATGATAGATAACCTGCATATTGTCCACACTTGTATATTTCTTCTCCCTTTTTTTCACTCAGCTTTTGCTTCATTCATTGCTCATTTTGTACTGATACACTCACCAAATGAATTGATTACACTTGTGGATGGTATTCAATCGAATTTATTTGCTCGTGTATTGGAAAAAGTTCTCATTCCTTACGCTGAATCTATTATCACTTCACCTTTAATTCCATCTACTGGCTTTGGAAGTAAGTTTTCTTTTTTAATATCCTTTAATCTGTAAATTTATTTAATGTAACATGTGTATATCATAATAATATTTTTGACGCTTTATGAGTTAGTAGATTCCTTGATTATGTTATCATTAGAAGGAAGCTCAGGAATATAATTTTTTTTAAAATTTGCCAGGTTTCAAAACCTTATCGTTGGTGTATCGATCGGATATTCACTCTGCTTCATGTCCTTGGACATACCTCATCGTCTGACAATAGCTGTACTAGTTAACCTAAATGCAGTACTTGACTGTCTCTCTATCGAAAAGTATGGAATGGGATACCGTGTAAATAAGTCACACTACTAAAGGATCTGTATTCGAACATCTGTAGTTGTGTTAGAGCCTAGTGTGGGACATCAGATGAATTTTCTATGTCGCGTGGTGTTGTAGATGTCTTTTTTTATTTATCAAGATCATCCCTTTCTTGTCCAACTTCACTGTGGGTTGGTCTCTCTTATCGTTTCATGGTAGGGCTGGGTTATTACTTCGTTTGACAATCGGGAATGCAGCAGTTAAAAGAATTACCCAGTAAGTCTAACCAGCCTTAGTGGGCTTGTGACCGATAACATTTCAGGATAGATACAAAAAATTTTATTTGCTTTTAAAAAAAACTGGATCACACTGATATAGTCTAGATGTCCGATTGGTAACCAAAAGTAGGGTGTACTGAGCAGTTCTCTCTACCCTATTCTCTTGCTATGAAACATAACCATTCAAATAGAGGTTCTAGATATTATACCATTTTAGCTGTAGAGGCAGTGATTATGCGTCGTAGACCACCACTCCAGCAATGTAGAGATTTAATTCAGAGGTAAGCCACCGAAGTGGCTAATAAGTGCTACGTGTATCTGGTTGTCATCCGCTGTGACTTGTGATGTTAGCTGAAACAGAATAAGGTTCGTTGAAGACGATCAAATTAAAATGTATCACCGGTCCTTGATGTCCTTGAATTTTGGTTTCTATTTAGGAAGGTGAATGTCTCTCGATTGGGGTCCGCTTTGGTCTACTGTTTGGCTGTGAAACATGGCCGTTGAAGATAGAATACATGAGAAGGCTTCAGATGTTTGACCATCGCTGCCTTTGTAGCATAGGCTGTGTGCCGTAGTGTCACCACGTGAGTAACTCAAGCGTAAAGTTTTAGAGGGGGAGAGATAAGATGCGGTTGTGAACCTTCGTCATTGAAATGGCTGAGGCATATGTTATGTATGCCTAGCCACTGTCTACCTCGTCTCACAATGTTGGCCAAAGTAGGTTCAGACCGGAATGCGTGAAGTCGTCGACTGTTTGTTTGAGTCATGAGTGCGATGTTGTCTAGCCGGTTGGGGTCGACGGGACGAGAAAAACCAGTGGTTGAAGACTTTAGGTGATATGTCTCGGAACCGATGTCAGTGATGCAGGTGTATACGCATATTATCCTCATCTTAAACCCTAAACTTAGCCTCATCATTTTCTCCTTCATGTCTTCTACTTTTTTTGACAGATTTTTCTTTCCTTCATCTTCCACTTTGTTGCTATGCCATTTCTCATTTCTTTGTGTATCATCTTTTTGGTTTGAATCTTGATGTATTGGTGTGAGATGTGACAACTTGAATCGTTTGTGCAGTAATCCTCAAGTGCCGCCTTTTTAATTCCACTTATCACCGATTATCTTCCTGATTGTGATGGACTGGATCATGCATCAAACCGTGAGGAGCGAGAAGAGGGAGATACGCTGGACCGAGGAAAAGATCTTAGGAGATTTGGATTTCGCGTGTGACTCATGTGTAATGTCACACAAACTCGAAGATCAACAGGCGAAAGCTAACAAGTTGACAGAAGAGGTGAGGCAGGGCAGCGAAGACGGGACTTCAAGTGAATGTAGAGAAGACACAGGTGATGAAGATACCCAACCAGCACCACCGCCAACAACAAGCTCCAATCACCATCAACGGGAGAAACTTGAAGGAAGTAGCCTCCTTCACCTATTTAGGTAGCACCGTTTCAACTACAGTGTCGGTGGCACAGACGAGGATGTCAAAGCCAGCCAGGATCGGAAAGACAGCAAGACAGGCGTTCATTAGCCTGAAACCAGTGTGGAGATCTTCTGCACTCAGCATAAAGCCTGAACAACATCCGGATTTTCAACACCAACATCAGTCAAGTCAGTGCTTCTGTATAGTGGTTGAGAGACTTGGCGCGTTACCAAAGGCATTTCCAACAAACTACAGACATTCATCAACAGCTGCTGTCTACGCTGGCTATCGTTACTGAGGATCAGCTCAGATGGCCAGAATAATAAGAGTAAGCAACACGGAACTCAGTGTGGCAACGAACCAACTAAGAACCTATCACTCAGCAAATATGCAGTGAAAGGAAGTGGAGAGGAGTCGGGCATGCACTGAGAAGAATGGTTGGGGACATCACGCGCCAGGCCAGGCTATGGAGTGGAAATTAGATGGGAAACGACGAGTTGGGTATCGGTGGTGGGGGTGAAATGGAGGAGATGTTGTGAGGAAGAAATGAGAGCTTGTGGACAGTCGTGTAGCTAGGTCCAGAAGATTCCTGTATACTCTGACCTTGGTTACCCAAACGCGTGGAATAATTAAAGCATTTTTATACATCTAGTGTACCATGCAATTTTAGACTTCATCATAAGGCTATCTGATGAGTGCCCTATCAAATAGCGTTGGTTTTTATCGCTACTGACATTTTTTTAAAAACAATTACACCATTTTCGTGCTTACTTATTTTCCTTGATAATTACACAATACAACATCTAAAATTTCATTGGTTACCTGATTTATGAGTAATTTATTAAGTGTTAGAATGATGATACATCCATTTATAATTAATTCGTATATTTCATACAGTTTGAACTTAGTTCAACAATGAAACGTTGTATATATTTCCGTTAAAAAGTGGTTGCTACTAGGTTGATTTTCTAATTTTAAACACCTTTCTATGAAATTAATATTCAGTATTATTGTAATATTTTGTATACCTTTTTATTCTAGAAAATATTGATATATCTGGTTTACCTTCTACTACTATTTGTACACAATGGCGTGAAAATAGCATAGGATTAATTCGATTTATTGGTGAAGCACAAGCTTTACTTAATGATGGAGCAACTTATCAAGATTCTTGGATTCCATTATTGACAAAAATTATTACTGGTTTAGCTATTGGTCCAAATAAAGGTGGTGATATTGCTAGTGATATAGCTGTTTCAACTGTTATAAATTCTATGGTGAATGGTTTCAATAAAGATGAACGTTTTATTGAAATGGACTCAGATCCTTGTAAGTTTTATTCTTTATTGTTTTAGTCCATTTGTCAAATAATGATGTTTATTAAAGTCGAATGAATTTCTGGGATTCGAACTAATAGTCTTTGGATTACAAGACTCAACTATTGACCAAATCTTAATTAACTTCACCAATAGACACTTATGTATAACGAATTCATATGATATCCGGTTAAATATTCTTATTTAGCCATTTTGCATACCAATCGACTGGTAATCCAGAGACCTTCGAACTGAATCGTGTCACAACAGAGGTTTCTATTTGCTTCTATAGTCATCTAGTGTTACTAACATCAGTTTTTCGAATTATGTCTACCTAAGAATAGTCTCACCATCTGACTTCCAAATATTTTGCTACTGTCATCATTGGTGTTTGCTTTTTTTAAATCTTGAATAAACAATCCCTTGACTTGTTTCCCTCCTATTTCAGTTCCCTTCGTTTAAAATCTTTTTGATTTGAGTATTGGGATACGTGTTTCACTGATAAGAGCTATTTGGAGTGATATATTTCTACCTGGATGAAGATTTCTTTTAGGGTTATTTATCATGAACTGACATCAGTTGAAAGAACATTGGATATCTGGGAGTATTGGACAACTGTTTCGTCCCCAGTCGGGACTCCTCAGCAGTGCACACCAATGACCCCGCCAGGGATCGAACCCAGGACCTTCAGGTTCCGTGGTCAGCACGTTACCATATATTTTCTTTCGGTTAATCTACTCATTCAGTCTTATTTTGCATTTTCCACAGTTTACATTGTATGACTATATGTAAAGCTGTGGTTCACAGTTGATTTTTAACCAATGGATGATGAGTTCGAATTCCACTCCACCTACCGAGGTTTAGACAACCACGTAACATCATCAATAGCCTTCACACAATAGATATGGTTCCATTTTATGCCTGCTAAATGAATATCCTCAGAGTTGGTGAGTGAATTTCAATTCATTGTGACTATACACAATTCATCCTCATTCTGTGTTACTTAGTATTCACCAGATACTGCTCAAAGCAGAGCAGTTCACTGACATCTTCACATAGCATAGTTTGTTTTCAACCTTATTCAATTTGTTCATTGTTCAATATCCAAGATGTATTGAATAAGATTATTGTATCACATAGTGTGACAAGATAATGTGACCATCTCATATCATATATTGTCTAAATCAAAGTGTTTATTGAACAACAGTTTATAGTAATATGTGTCTATGTTATTACTCATGGTGTTATTTTGATGTTTGTTTTTTTCTTCTAATCATATGTCTATTACTTCTTTCTTCTTTTATTTTCTTTCTTTATAACAGCTGGTCAGTCAGCTTATTCTCAGTTGACTTTTGCAGTTCAACATCTTCCTAATCTCTGTGCATCTATTACAGATCCACGTGTTTATCTAGCGAAAACATTGCATGAATTATCTAATCTATCTCCTGGAAAGGTAATGCAAATTAAACTGTATTAATTAACTGTTTTACATGATGCTGTAATCAATGAAAAAGAGAAAAGAAGTTATGTGTAAAATCCTTTATTGGTATTTTTCCTCGTATGTTTATTAGTCACTTACTAAACATTAAACTCCTATTATAGTTAGATTTTCAGGGAGTTATGGGGATTTGCAAATATTTCAAGTTGTTATTCCTCGTTGACTAACATCAGTTGGAGGAATGAAGGAAACCTGGCAGCACTGAACAGCTGTTTTGTCCCAACATGGGACTCCTCAGCAGTGCGCACCCATGACCCCGCCAGGGATCGAACCCATGACCACCAGGTCCCGTGGCCAGCACGTTACCATTGAGCTAGCCACTGGGTCAGAATCCAATGGTCCATATTTCCAACTTCTGTTAGTTCACGATATAACACAACCGCCACCCAATGTCATCGTTGAGTAACTGTCCTCATGACCATCAGGCTTTGCCCCCACCGGTTAAGATAAAAGGATAGAAAATCAACGTCAAATCTCGCACACAATTCCATTGGTCCAAGTTGCCAAACTACGCAATAGTATACAAAGGACAGGTGAATAGTAAAAGACTGACATTAAAGTAGACATAGTTGTGTAGAAGAATAACCAATTTGAAGATAGTGTGAATATTCAAGCTTCAGTAGATTTCAAGGAATGAATACATCTGTATCACTGATCCATTTCCAGTGAGTTAGGGGCTTGATGGACTGATATCACATCTTTGTCTGGCCACCGTGAATCCTCTTCTAACCTAATCTAACTTCCTTTAGCATGACAGTTTGAGATAGATCGTGGCTCGGTATGCGAAGTACAGTCCAACGGGTCTCAGTCGATGGGGATTCATAATCTCTTCAATCAGTTGACTTGTCTAGCAAACACCAGCAGCAGTGTGAAGATATCTGTAGTAGCCGCTTCATATCTACTTCTTCCGAAGGTCATGTTCCACAGCTGTATAGTAGGAGAGAGCGGTGTACAGAATAATATACTCGTCTTCTGATAGGTAGTCAAAAGTGATGTTCTCAGTCAACGCCACAGATTTACATTTCGTCAGCAATCAACCCGTTGGGGTTAATGCAACTTACCCAAGTTAATGAAGTGATCAATACATTCCACCACTTCACTGCCTATGGTTAAACCAGCAGTAGTTTGTAGACTAGTCGATCCTGGAGCGTCATCTTACATTTGAAAGTATGCTGTGTATCTCAAGAGTGATCGGTGCACACTGTATCCTGGTTAAGAAATAGTACAATATATTGAGTGTACTATGATGCAGCAGTTTTTATGCGACTGTGAAACACTGCCATTAAAGATAGATTCTTGAAGACTTGAAAGTTTCCTATAGACACAAGTTTCTAGACTCCCATCTTGTTTCCGTTTTATTCTGCAATCTTAAAGCCATTATCTCTTTGTTGTCTCGATAGATAGATAGATAGATAGATAGATAGATAGATAGATAGATAGATAGATAGATAGATAGATAGATAGATAGATAGATAGATAGATAGATAGATAGATAGATAGATAGATAGATAGATAGATAGATAGATAGATAGATAGATAGATAGATAGATAGATAGATAGATAGATAGATAGATAGATAGATAGATAGATAGATAGATAGATAGATAGATAGATAGATAGATAGATAGATAGATAGATAGATAGATAGATAGATAGATAGATAGATAGATAGATAGATAGATAGATAGATAGATAGATAGATAGATAGATAGATAGATAGATAGATAGATAGATAGATAGATAGATAGATAGATAGATAGATAGATAGATAGATAGATAGATAGATAGATAGATAGATAGATAGATAGATAGATAGATAGATAGATAGATAGATAGATAGATAGATAGATAGATAGATAGATAGATAGATAGATAGATAGATAGATAGTATATTCTGATTCATAAAACGTGTTTATATTTTGCTTACATTTCTGTTAGATGCCTGCAATGCTCAGCTCAATCTCTGAACAGCAAATCACTATGTATTTACAATCACTAATGGGACGTGTTCAACTTGGCATTAATTAGTTATCTATGTAGCAAGGATAGCAAAACAGTCGTATAACTATTTGTTTGTGTGTTTGTTTTTGTGAATGGTTAGTCTTCTTTTCAGTTATATAAAGAAGTATTTCCAGTGAGATTGTATTCTTTCAACTCTATTCCTCTTTCCAAAGAATTTTATATCAACCCATTAGATTTATCACTTCAGATTTTCTATTAGGTGAGTTATTGACTTTATAGAAAAGGTTGTTTTATTTTTTTCTAATTTTCCTGTTGGTTCTATTTTTGTTGCTATGTCAACGTCCTACCGTAGCATTTTTCTTTCTCTGTTGGCTTTCCTCTTTGTTCTTTCCTTTAAGAAATAGTGTTCAGTTTTATTGTAAATGGTGTTGTTGTTCTTTCTCCTTCTCTTTTTTTTTTAACTATCTTCATTATGTTGAAAAAGTGAAGTGTTTCAATTTATCTCTATGAAACTCATCTAATCTATACTTTCTTGTGTATATTGTGGATGTATAATGTTGTTGATGTATTGCAAACAGACGACGATTTTTTCATTCATAGAAAAATTGCCTTATTAAAATGCATTTTCTCGAAAAACTAAGTAACTGAGTTGTGTAATGTTTTAAAATTCCTATGGAGAACTATATTTGTTGTCTGTTTGTTATAATCTGTGTTATATATATATACATAAGAAAAATATCATAAGATGCGTTTGTTTTTACCCTTATTGTTTCAGGCACCAAGAGGAAGTAATGTTGATACTTCAACACGTAAGGGTGTTAACTTAACCCAGTACATGCTCTTGTAGCAGGCAGTTAGCCACATTTATTGTTTGAAGGCTTATCCTGCTACTCGGTTGTCCAGGAGGAATTAAGTGGAGGGGAGGAAGTCGAGTTCCTAAGTGAACAAGTTCCCTGACGTTGTTTGTGAATAATTCAACACTACAACTTCCGTAATGGAGGAAACCTTTATTTCTCTTTGAGGTGTTTACACTTCAATGAGGATGTTCGGCATAACTGTACCCTAGTCATAGGAATGGATAAAATAATAAGAAAAAAATCTCTTTTAATGTAAAACATAATTTTGTTTACAGAACATTAACAATCCTACAATATATATGAGTAATAACAGGATTATTGAAAGGTTAAATGACTGTAGGATCAGGATAACTAATCTCTATTGTAAAGTTGTTTGATAAGACTCTGTCTAACATGTTTATCTCCACACAATACACAAGCTAACTAAGGTGGTATGGTTGAATTTTTGTATGTAGTTATGCTTGCATGCAGTTTACTTGTATTCGCTTCTTGTTTTCCCTTAGGACAGATATGGAGAGAGGCGAGGATGCTTGTTATCAGATGAAATACTTTTAACCAGCTGTTCTCTACAAGAGATCACACGCCTATTAGCGACTGCGTTTATCACTAAGATTAGTGGTGTACTGCATGCTCTCCTAACAACCTTCAAAATCCTACACAATACAGCATAGTCTTTTTCCCTAAGCCCAGGTAAGAATAAGGGGGGACAGTAAGTAAATATAACCGAAACATAGGAATTCATGGAACAAGAAGAGAAGCTGAGATATGTCAGTCAGTTTCATTACATAAGAAGCTCAAGTGAAGGATTTCCCTAGAGATCATTACAATATGAATAGGGGTCTAGTAAGATCAGAAGACAAACGTAAAACAACATGGATCATACCTGATGCATTCTCTACAACAGAGCCATCATGGAACTGAAGCAGTCCACATAACTCTTTTCCATGTCTCCAGCTAAAATTTACTATCTGAGAATAATTTGAGTAGGATACTGCTAGGTAATCCATGTATGTAACAAAATAAGCCTTAGCTAAGGTGGGTAGGTCATGGTAAGGAAAACAACACTTTGAGACACATCAAGTAGCGAAGTTGAGCGCCTCTCTCTGTATAGAGTGTGCTGTCTTCTCTCAGAAAAATAAGAATGAAGCCAGTTTGCAATCCAGTACTCAATATGAGTTCTGGGAAACTTGTTCCGTGGAAAAGGTTTGTAATCAAATTGATTTCAATCACTGAAAGCCTCCAAACACACGAAGTAACAGTTTTTCCATTGTTTTTAGGAGTAATGAAGTTACTACAATTGATATGGACACTGGGACTATTTTGAATTCCTTCAAGGTGGTTAGTATATTACATTTCGCATTCAAAGACAAAATTGTTAGATCCTAGTGAGATAAGAGAATCCAGGGAAAAGCTCAGTCATAACTCTTCATGCAACTACACACATTAGAACAGGGTGACAATCCTCAAAATTAACATAGCAAGGTGGGGGAAAGATTGATAAATCAATCTTTGTTTGTCGAATCAGCTACAGGAATATCTCAACACTTGTTCCAGATATATGAAAAATCCTACTATTGTATCACAAAAGAGGGAAGACGATTAGAACGACCGATATATATCTGCACAAAAAATATATTGGAAGAAGAAATCAAATTCATAACAGAGGCACTCATGAAAAATGCATATCCTGTGAATTTCATTGATCATTATAAAAATGTCTCAATGGGTGTGAACTAATCAGTATTCTGTCCAGAAAAAGGATGCCTACATCACACTGTTGTATAAGGGGCAACTAAATAGTATGATCTTAAGACGAAGACTGGCTTATTTCAGTTATTAAAAGGACGTATGCAGCTAAACTCTACATTATCAAGAAAATGGAACCTACACTTCAGAATACACATCATCAGAAATGATTACATCACATCTCGCTGTGTACATCGAATTACGTGTATGTACGGTGACATACATTAGGAGGAGGAGGAGTAATCGAACAATAAAGTTCTTGGTGGTGGAGCATATCCCTAAATGGTTAGGAAAACAATTACATTCAAATGGTCTGATAAATACAGGGAGCAGATAGACACTGTTGTCTACAAGTAAACACATTATAAAGTCATACGACTGACCTGAAAACATCATTTAGACCATTGCATAGAAGTCGCTAAGATCGTATACTTGGGTTCATTGAATCATTAGCTATTTCGAAAGTTCAAACCCATTTTGTGTATTCCCAAAAACAGTTTGTCCTTACCTTAGTAATCTATATCTCATTTTAATGTCAAGTGAGGTATGGAAATGTATTATTCCTCTTTATAATCCCTATATTTTCCAAATCTTGTTTAATCTTAATTCATCTACCCTACTCAATCCTATTTTTATCCTTCATACTAAATGCTTGACAAGTAAATGTGTAATGAGATCGCCCGACTACATCCATCATACTTCCTAGATAACCTTCATCTTCTGATTAAATTATATAAATTTATCAAAGGGACTGATCACGGATAGTGGCTAGCAGTGGAACCCAGGATGCGTATTTCGTCCTATTCGGGACTCGTCAGCTGGATGTACCTGCATCCTAGTGAGTGATTTTGTTCCCACTCCGGACCGATCACTTCAAACAGCCGGGTGGTTATGTACTAGACCATCGAGCCACTTCTTGTGCAACAGCTCTAGTGCTATTGCCAAATTGACAGATCTCTATTGGACTCGTCTATCTAACGAGTCCTAAATAAGACGAAATGCGCATCCTGGATTCCACTGTTAGCCACTATCCATTATTACTATATATAATTAAAACACATGCAATATCGAGGCATCCGTGCAGGAGGCCATATGCCAGTAGAGACCGATCAATTCGATCCAATCACTAAAGGGACTAGTTATTTGAAATATTTGATTCATCTGATTTTGTTGATGCTATAAGTAGTCTCAATTTATCTGGAAAACGAATACTCACTTTGGACGTCATTTCACAAATGTTCCACTTACAGATCGTTAGAATTCACTTAGCACATAGGACTGGACAACATGAAATTGGTTACTCTCCAGTGACCAATCAGTGTATTTAATCCACTCCTACAAGGGGGTCGGTCGCGCCCTAAGTGGTAAGGACGCTGACTACAACTCCAGCTGAGGCAGGTTTGAACCTCAGGCAGGATATCAGTTCCATCGATGCTGCAGATACGTCTTGCTGAGGAGTGCCAACAAACATGAAACCTAGGTCCGGGGCTAGCTGCCAATTTCCTCCATTCAACTAACACTCTTCGTTGCCTCCTATGTCAATAAATTGGAACTAATAATCAAGAACTCAGTATACGAATTCGTTATCTGAAGGAATTATACTGTTCCCACTGAGACTCGAACCTCGTTCTTGTATCAACCGAGGTTTTAATTCCAACTCTACTTATCTTTCTGTTATTCTACAACAAGGACTAGTTTGCTTGTTCTGAATAACCTGATCTCGAAAGTCCTAGAAAGCTTCAACATAACTCCTACATTCATGCGTCACATAATTGAATCTGACTCATCGTCACAACATTCGATGTTGATTTCCGGAAGCGAACCTATCCACCTTCAATCCAACTTACAAGTCACATAACGCACATCCATCGTATAAACTACTTCAAACTGATGAGTTTTGTGTGTGATTTTCTTCACTATTTTGAACGTAGCAAATGGAAACAGGTTGGAAGAATGTAGTGGTCCTACTATGTTTCGTCTTATTCTCATCATTTGCAGACAAGCTAACATAGTTGTTCATTTTTTAAGTTTGAAGTTGAATTTGATATCAACAAGCTTGAAAGTTGGATAATGTGGGTGACGGCAGTCATGAAGGAACAGTAGTGGACGTCTTGCTTTTATTGGAATCCACTGCAGGTCAGGGATGCGAACTTTTATATCCTATGGTTGTATAGAAATGATTTATTAGCCATTCCATGATCTCTGAAGAGAACCATCTGGTCTCCGTTTTAGTAAAGCATCAAGCCACTGATATTCTGAGTTCTTTTCAAATTCTGATGTGAAGTTGATCGATCATCATCAGCCCCAAATTATTCAAGCAGTTACCACCTTCTGGGTCTGTTACTTCTCGCTTATTATATGGTCTCTTGAAAGTACACAAAGAGGATCTTCCTCTTCGTCCAGTTTTGGACAATTCATAAGACCATTCTATCGCCAAGTGACTGTCAGACATCTTCCAGCCAGTTAGAAAACAGCTAAACACGCATAGCTTATTGGATTCCTTCGACTTTTTCGACTCACTTAATAATGTCAATATATCCGGTAAGTGAATGATTTCTCTGCATTTGGTCTCGCTTTTCACCAATGTCTTATTCACGGAAACTATCTGTTTTCTATGTGATTTCATCGAAGATCATAATTTTCACGTCAGTATCCCAAAGGAAATACTTCTAAGATGTACTTTCAACGTGCAGTTCTAATTCAACACTGATCTATATAGACAAAAGGATGGGGTCACCACTTTGACCGTTGCTGACTAATTGCTTCATGGTGAACCTAAAGAATAGTGTGCTGCATTCAACAATTGATAGTTTTTACCTATATAAAAGATAATATGGATGAAACATTCATCATATGTGATTAAAATACAGATATTGGGACTATAGTAAAAAAGTTGAATAATTTATCTTAAGAATTTTCAATCTTTTCAGTTGTTAACTTATAAGACTGTACTGATCAGACTCTTTTGAGATATACATTTCCCTTAAAGAAGACTTTGACACTAACTTGATTCAGAAATGACAAAAAAAATCCTACATTAGAATGGACTAGTGCAAATGTATTAATCAAGCAATATAGTTAGGCCCAAAGACAGACAAGAAGAGATTAATTACCGAATATTTGATATTGGATGGTGATAGTTTGAATGCTGCTGTGGGCTAGATTTTCACTCAACTTTTAATTATCACCCTGTACAAATACAAGTCTACCAAATGACGTTTATCTCAGACAGTCAAACATACATACATAATAGGATGTTATATTGATATTGGTGACTAGCAGAGAAATCCAGTAGGCGCGTTTCGTTTTACTTGGGACTCGTCAGCCGGATGCAGGTACATTCAGTGCTTCATACATTCCTCTACTAGTCACCAAGATGAGTATCAGATAATAAATATTCAACAGTATTGTGGCATCCACATAGGAGCCCATCTGCCAACGAAGGTTAAATAACTCCACCCCGTATAGCAACGAGAAATTAAAAAATACAATAGAAATTATCCAACACTTAATTTTGACATGTAGAAAATTCTATTACCAGTGTAAACCAAATTTATGAAAGTTTTCAGCTACTTTGAGAAGTAGAGGTAGTAGTAATAGTAGTGTGACTAGTAGTAGTAAAAGTAGTAGTAGTAGTAGTAGTAGTAGTAGTAGTAGTAGTAGTAGTAGTAGTAGTAGTAGTAGTAGTAGTAGTAGTAGTAGTAGTAGTAGTAGTAGTAGTAGTAGTAGTAGTAGTAGTAGTAGTAGTAGTAGTAGTAGTAGTAGTAGTAGTAGTAGTAGTAGTAGTAGTAGTAGTAGTAGTAGTAGTAGTAGTAGTAGTAGTAGTAGTAGTAGTAGTAGTAGTAGTAGTAGTAGTAGTAGTAGTAGTAGTAGTAGTAGTAGTAGTAGTAGTAGTAGTAGTAGTAGTAGTAGTAGTAGTAGTAGTAGTAGTAGTAGTAGTAGTAGTAGTAGTAGTAGTAGTAGTAGTAGTAGTAGTAGTAGTAGTAGTAGTAATAATAGTGATAATCTCACCACTATCTGATTCTTCGTTTCTCTCTTTTCTTACTTGATATTTTTTTGACTGTATTCTCTTTTGTTCAACTTCCACTTCGCTGCCTTTTTACTTTATGTACTGAAACGATTTAATGCAACTCGGACCGTTACGCAGTAATGCCTGACCCTAGGTTGATCTGGATGGATGAATTTCTTTGAGTAGTAACTTGTGGTTAAGAAGTCATTTAGTAAATAATACTGTATTACTGTAGATTGCCTATAAAATAAGCAAATCTAATATGGAATTACATTCTAACATACTACTAAACGTTTACTCATAAATTAATGAATCAGTTTACTTATTCATGCATGAAACTGGTTATACAAAATGAAGATCATTGGGAAGAATTGTTTTATGTTCAAAAGAATTGGTTGTATTACTTACAGGTGAATTATGAGGTCGAAGAAAACAATATGCATCTATGCGTATTCCAATATGAAAACCTTAGTAACTGCATCAAGTGATAGATACGAGGTTGAAATGTATCATGGAATCACACCAGCTGGAGAAACATTCGAAACCTGCTAGCCGTGGAATCTGAAAATCTTGGGTCCGATCCTTGGAGGGGTCATAAGTGTGTACTGTTGAGGACTACCATACCAGGACGAAACAGCTGCCGAGTGATCCAAGACTTCTAATGTTTCTCCGATTGATGTCAGACCATGATGAGTATCAATCTAAAATCAATAAATATATCCCCACAAGCCTTCAAATTGATGTCTTAGATCAGCTGGTAAAGCATTGGGCAGGAAATCCGGTGGTCGCTGGTTCGAACCCGGTAGCAGTCCAGATTTTCATTTCACTCGCAATCAAAGCCTATTATAGATATTATACATGCAAGTGAGTGATATAATTATTCTGAGTAGTTAAATTTTATATAACCTTTTGGAATATCAGTTTTACATTAAGCCATGGTATCATTCACTGATGAAATCTACAACAGGCGTTTCATCGCTCCGAAATCTCATAAGTCTCATGTATCTAAAGCTGCGGAGATAGATATCCATGTTATCAAGAGAATATTTATAATACATAATGCCTCAAACTGAGAAAAATCTTTACTAAGAGATAAAGAAACACTTCAAAATATGATTGGTAGTAAGTACTAAATAAGAATTTCTTTTCTTAATAATTTGTCGTATGTATTAATGATGCGTGGGGGCCAGCAGTAGAATCCAGGATGTGCGTTTTATCCAGTTTGGGACTTTTCAGCTCGATGTACCCGCCTACCAGTGGATGATGTTGTTCCTACTAGGACTCGAACTTCGGGCTGAATGTTTCAAACACCAGAGCATTATCCACTCGTCCACCGAGTCACGATAGACACTTGTTGTAAGACGAATGTAATTTCAGTGTTGTTGCTTATATTATCTCGTCATTGAGTGGAGCGAAGTGATCGGTCTCCATTGACATATTGCCTGTGTTTGAGTAAAATGTTAATGATCGGTAGTGGTTAATAGTGAAATCAAAGACAACCGTTTCGTCCTATTTGTTCGCTCTATACCTAACAGTTTTATATGCAGTAGGATCAGAGTGAAAAAGTAGGATAATACCAGCAACATTACATAAACTAAACCCGTAGTCACTTGCACTTCGTCCAAAAATACCACCTCCAGCCCAGCCACAGAACTACCAGTGAACACAAATCCTCCTACAAAAGTCGAAGTCCTGAACGCCATAAAGCTACTGAAGTGTAGGAAAGCAGCAGGACCAGATAGAATCCCGCCAGAAGCACTGCAAAAGGAGACGCAGAGACAACAGCAGTGGACATGCTCACACCACTACCGCAGAAGGTGTAAAAGGAAGGAAGGAAAGGTAACTGCCGATTGATTGTAAGAACGACTAACTTGTCAAACTCCCGAAGAAGAGGGACCTCAGTGTTTGCAAGAACTGGCTCGGAATCACTCTCCTGTCCACCCAAAGCAAGCAAAATATTCAGCCGCATCACACTGGGGAGACTAAAAGGAAAATGGTCTGGATTCAAAATTACCACCGGAACAGGCTGGCTGGCTGGCTGGCTGGCTGGCTGGCTGCCTGCCTGCCTGCCTGCCTGCCTGCCTGCCTGCCTGCCTGCCTGCCTGCCTGCCTGCCTGCCTGCCTGCCTGCCTGCCTGCCTGCCTGCCTGCCTGCCTGCCTGCCTGCCTGCCTGCCTGCCTGCCTGCCTTTAGGAAGTAGGAATCATATGCGGACCAAATTGCAACGCTTCACAACGCGTCATCATAGAACAGAGTATAGAATGCCAGTCAACTCTGTACCTTACCTCAATTTCATCGACTTTGAGAAGGCCTTTGACAACGTCGACCGAGAAGTAATTAGCCAGGCAGTTGCTTCAACACTACGGAATACCACAAACCTTTATCCACCTCATTCAACAACTATATGAAGACGCCACATACCAGCCAAGTAATTCACAATGGGAAGCTCAGTGATGCTTTTGAAGTGAAGACAGGGGACAGGAGTGAAACAAGGCTGTCTACTATCACCCATGATCTTCCTGACTGTAGTAGACTGGGTCATGCAGCAGACGGCTGTAGGGAGCGAGAAGAGGGGGATACACTGGCTGGACTGCGGAAAACATCCTAGAAGATTTGGATTTCACAGATGACTCTTGTCTAATGTCACACAAACTCGAAGATCAACAGGCGAGAACTAACAAGTTGACAGAAGAGGTGAGGCAGGGCAGCGAAGACGGGACTTCAAGTGAATGTAGAGAAGACACAGGTGATGAAGATACCCAACCAGCACCACCGCCAACAACTAGCTCCAATCACCATCAACGGGAGAAACTTGAAGGAAGTAGCCTCCTTCACCTATCTAGGCAGCATCGTTTCAACTACAGGTGGCGGTGGCACAGACGAGGACATCAAAGCCAGCCAGGATCGGAAAGACAGCAAGACAGGCGTTCATTAGCCTGAAACCAGTGTGGAGATCTTCTGCACTCAGCATAAAGCCTGAACAACATCCGGATTTTCAACACCAACATCAGTCAAGTCAGTGCTTCTGTGTAATGGTTGAGAGACTTGGCGCGTTACCAAAGGCATTTCCAACAAACGACAGACATCCACCAACAGCTGCTGTCTACGCTGGCTATCGTTACTGAGGATCAGCTCAGATGGCCAGAATAATAAGAGTAAGCAACAAGGAACTCAGTGTGGCAACGAACCAATCAAGAACCTATCGCTCAGCAAATATGCAGTGGAAGGAAGTGGAGATGAATTGGGCATGCACTGAGAAGAATGGTTGGGGACATCACGTGCCAGGTCAGGCTATGGAGTGGAAATTAGATGGGAAGCGACGAGTTGGGCGTCTTAGGTGAGGGTGACGTGGAGGAGATCGTGTGAGGAGGAAATGAGAGCTTGTGGGCTGTTGTGGAGCCAGGTTGAAAAGATTTCAGAGAAAAGAGTGGAATGGAGACGTGCTATTGAAGCGGTCTTTTTCACTAGGAACCCAAGGGACAAATATATATGATATATATATACAGGGCCGAAGTGCCCCAACTGTATTGACAGGTGGGCTCCTATGTGGATGCCCTGATACTGCCGAACATTCATGGTGTTATATTCGTCTTGAAGTCAGGCGATTCAGCCCTGTGTAGCAACGGGAAATTACAGGTATCATGAAGGTAAACAATACCTGTTGCAGAAGAAGTGCATGTTGTGGCCTAGTGGCTTGGTGAATAAGGATCAGGTGTTTGAAGCGAAGAGTTTTGGGTTTGAGTCCCCAGGGGGACAACGTTACTCACCGGGGAGCAGGTGCATCCAGCTGACGAGTACGAAAGAGTACGAGACGTTCGTCCTAGATTCGTCTGCCAGTTACCAAGATCAACTTAACAGACACTTGCGTACTGAAAAGTATGTAAAGAATAGTAACTTAAGCTTGTCAATTCATAACCTCTAACTTCATTCAACTAATCATTAAATCCATTAGAAATGACATCGATTACTGGGAGGTAAGTGATGACGGGTCTCGGATAGAAGAAAATACATGTCCTAGTCGCCACTGCTAGCCTTTGTCCACTATCAACGTCATTCAGTGAGCTGAACAATAGGTTCTGTCCATCAGTTTTTTCCTAATGACATAAAACACCTATAATTATATTCATGAGAAAATTGTGATTAACTGATAACTTATACTGTCTGTCACAAATGGTGTTACCTGACAAAGTATGGATCTGTACCCAGTCTAGAGTTCACTATAAGCCACTAACAAGTAACATCATGACAACCTGATATATACTATTCACTTTCGCATTAAAGGACGTGGTATAACCACATGGAATAGGTCAACTGTTCCTTAATATATAACAAGTGAAGGAAAGTTTCAGCCTGTCACTGCATCATATCCATTAAAGCAACAGCCAAGAAAGCAACGCTCAGTGATGATTTGTGGACCACAATCAGTATGAGTAAAAATATTAGAGCCATACAATAATGTCATATCAAAGACAATTCTCCCATTCGTCATACTACTACTAATCTACGTCTTTGTATTGATTGGTCACGGGAATGCAACCGATTTCATGTTGTCTAGTCCTCAGTGCAGATCGAATTCTATCGATCATATTTGCAATGTGGCAACCAAGCTGGGAAGCTCAGCCTCATGGTGCACATAAGTAGATGTTAGTTGGTTGGAGGCCATAGGCAGGAAGCTCTGGACCTAGGTTTCGTGCTTTTTCGCACTCGTCAGCAAGGCGTATCTGCAACCTTGACGGAACTGTTGTCCTGCCTGAGATTCGAACGCGCGTCACCCAGTGTTGTAGTCAGCGACTTTACCACTGAAATAGTGGAAAATATTTGTAGCTCAGGTGGATGGTCTTTGTTGTATTGTGTTCTCTGAGTTGGGTTGTTTAATCGTGAAGCTTTCATCGTCCTTCTAGACGACATCATCAGCACTAACTTCCTTATGAAGTGAGCTGTCAATATCTCTCCATGAGTGATTTAGTAGCTTGCCTTGACGAAGTGGTCTATGATTGGTTGTGCTGATGTCGTCTAGAAGGACGATGAAAGCTTCACGATTAAACAACCCAACTCAGAGAACACAATACAACAAAGACCATCCACCTGAGCTACAAATATTTTCCACTATTTCAGTGGTAAAGTCGCTGACTACAACACTGGGTGACGCGCGTTCGAATCTCAGGCAGGACATCAGTTCCGTCAAGGTTGCAGATACGCCTTGCTGACGAGTGCGAAAAAGCACGAAACCTAGGTCCAGAGCTTCCTGCCTATGGCCTCCAACCAACTAAAATCTACGTCTTTATAAGTAATGTCCAACAAAACCATAACTGGTACAGTAGCACCTATCTCACCTGGTGATTAGATGTTTTATATTTGATCTGTTTAACTGAAGGTTAAACCATTAGTAGGAAAAACAACACATTTATGTAAAGTGATTTGACGAATCGATAGCCAAATATACTCCTCAATCGATAACATTTGAACATTTATCAGACTAATTCGTCATACAACTTCTTAAACTACTCACAGATTACAAGTAGTTTAATTGTTTTTGCGAATTTAACTGGCTCAGGAGTGATTCTAATCCTAAATAGCTTCTCAAAAAGAGTATACGAAAAATATAGTTTTATGCTCTGTTCCATTTTATTTACTCTGTTACATCTGTGTTAAATCATTTTCAACCCTGTAGCAATATACTGGCACCCTGTTGGCTGAACACAGTTTTCAGTCCCTTGGTAAGTATTCCAGTTGTATATTAAAACCTTAGACAGCAAGTTTCCTAAATAACACCCTAATACATAAACACATTGTGTCCTATGAGACGAATGCTGTAAGGGAACACTTCTCGTTTCAAGTTTGTTAGTCCAACATCTTGTGTAGCATATTTCCTGACATTGAGTTCATGTGTGTGTGTGTGTGTTTGCATTGAATGTGATAGAGATGGTGGAAGGATGAAAAGTAAATTTCACTATTACAACACACACACTTCCCCTCCACCACTATTCAATGAAACTGCAAACATTTCTCTTCGTCCATTTTGATACCTCACATCGCAACACCTCCGCTTCTCCCCACCCCCCTGTATTCATATTCTCAGAATATATGGATTCTAACCAGATTATAGAATAGAATTACATAATTGTATGTTCATCAAACGGGCTACACTGAAGGCGATTTTCCAGTCACCTTTTTATAACCACAAAATTTCTCTCTACTTGTAGATGAAAAAGAAACAGAGACAAGTTCACTTATCACTCTATGTTCACATAGAAACACACATACAACAATATAAAAATACTGGGAAATATTTCCCAAAGTCTCACATATCCACTGTCTGCAGACAACTTCAAAGAAGATATTCACCTGAAAATTTATTAAAACCAACCCGAAATTCATAAATAAGCCAGCGTACTGTGCATACCTACAAGAAATTCAATCCCATTGCGTTTTTCGAGGAAATTTATTCAAATATATTCTTGAATTAGAGATAACTATGGGTGGGTGGGTGATTGGTAGGGAGAGAGGGAGTGAGTGAGTGAGTGTTTCTAGGTATACTCTGCGTATACTGTCCATACCACAAACATAGTGGGAAGAGTCAGTGTGTTAACAAACTAGTTAGTCACTGAGTGTTGTAAACAGCTTCACAGTGAATGCAGCATCATACTCTTTCGTTTGGTTGCACAAACATATCAACTACTCTATACTGACAGTTACTTCATCAGTCAAGAAGTCAATGACAGTTGGCTTATACTCATCAATATGGTGATATCAACAGCGATGCTGATGACGGAAAATTTTTGGGTGTTAGAAAAGGGACTGGGAACAACAAGTCAGTGGATAGTGCGATATTCTCAACTCAGTGAAAACATGGTGAGGATGCGAGAGACTGGCTGGATGGGTGGAACGAAACTGAACGCAACGGAACGGCAAGAAAGTGAGTGGTGGCAGGTCTCAACCGTCATCAAACACTCACTCACTCACTCACCCACTGACCGACCGACTGGATACAAATTAAATTTTTCAGAGAAGAGGTTATTGAGAATATTTCCAAACACAAGGGAGGGTGAATAAGGAAGGAATATATTGGAATAAAATCAACAGTGATCACATTATTTCTTCGTCTTCTTCCCATGTAAAGGCTAATTTCTCATTAAAAGCATGACTCACATTGAGAATTCCAACTGTTTCTTGTAGTGAGAGGAGAGAAGGGAAGATTCCACGCTAGTAATAGTAGTAGTAGTAGTAGTAGTAGTAGTAGTAGTAGTAGTAGTAGTAGTAGTAGTAGTAGCAGTAGTAGTAGTAGTAGTAGCAGTAGTAGTAGTAGTAGTAGTAGTAGTAGTAGTAGTAGTAGTAGTAGTAGTAGTAGTAGTAGTAGTAGTAGTAGTAGTAGTAGTAGTAGTAGTAGTAGTAGTAGTAGTAGTAGTAGTAATGGTGTTGGTACTAGTACCAGCCAAGGATGAAATTACCCGTGGGGATTTCATCTCTCTCTCTCCCTCTCTCTCTCTCTCTCTCTACTTGACCAAGTAAAGTAGAACTCGTTTATATCAAAGTAGAGGTGGGAACGATAATATACACAGATTGTGTATGTATGCGCATATTTATATTCCAATGTATGTTGATACATATGTAATGAGTAAAAAGTTGAAAAATTTACCTTATCGCTGACCTCGATACACAAAAGGCACGAGCAGAAAACTGTGTGTGTGTGTGTGTGTGTAAGTGAACAAAGATGTACACAGTATAGGAAGGATACAAACACTCCCTTGTATTTATGAATATCAATCGACTTCTCACAGAATTTCTTTGGAATTCGAAGGTGGCAAATTCGTTTTTCTTCTTCAATGGAAAGAAAACATTGATTGATTACTTTGAAGTTGATTAATTTGTTGCACTTCAAGATTTTCTTGTCCAATTGAATTTGTGTTTTGAATATGATCTTCCGTTCATAACAATGGTAACATGATTTGTATAAACTAGTTAACTTCTCTCTCTCAGCTCTTAGTAAGAGGTAAATTTGTTCTACATCAGCATACTACTTAAAAGATCATAAGTAGCTCAAGGTTACCAACTCTAAATTACATTTGTCAACGTTAAAAATTATAATACTCATTCATCTGTCAATTCTCGCACAATTTTTCCCTAGTGTAGATGACTGTATTTCAGGTCCTACAGATACCATTAAATGTGGGAAGTGAACAGCTCTCCTTTCAGTGACTTCTGTGGTAAGTTTGACTGTGCATCATCACCTAGCTCAACAACAAATATCTTCCTCATTGACAATTTCGGTACTCTTCTCCATGTAGAAAATAAATATCTTTCTCTACAGTGGAAACTACTAGAAGGTTCACTATTGTGTAACTAGGCTCCATTTACAATCTCCAGATGGGTAGGTACTGGTCACAAACACCCCAGCCGGGAAACAACATCTAGCAAGTTACTTGTTGTCAATCCAATTTCACTAACCGTTTGACAGGCATTTGGTTAGCTTCATTGGTATCAAATTGGTGTACACTCTGTGTCATGCATTTTCACAAACGGAAATGACCCCAAAATCCTAGTTAACATGGAATACCTGACCCAGCCTACCAACCGCCTTGATCAGTCGTACCTCCCACTCAAAGTCCTATTTGATACTTGAAGAAATTCTAAGCCCACTCACCCCAATCCCCACCCCCACCCCACCCCACCCCACCGCCGAATTCATAACAACTTGCAAGTAAAACTCTTACTTATCTACATAGTTCCCCAATTCTTCATTTCCTTCTTGCCTCAGCGGCCTTCGTTTATGTGATATCTGTGTGAGGCAATTTGAGGTTAGTGGGGATTTTATTTCTAAGGTAGTATTGATTACGGACTAAGATCACTTGGAGAACTACTAAAAACCTGGGAGAACTGGACACCTGTACCATCCCAGTGTGGGATTCCTCAGCAGAACACATCCACAATTCTGACAGGGAACGAACTCAGGACCCAGTGACTAAATGGTCACCTCATTCATCTTAAAACCTGAACTCGGTCCGTGATAGGGTGGTGGCTGCGTACTGTTGACAAATCCCATGCACTTTAGAAATCGACCATACATGTGGTAGAATCGCCGGTCATCATGCAATAAATGTCTGTCTGAAAACTCCAAATATACGCTCAGTGAATTCTTCAATCTTTCTACAACTTTTTTACCAACTGCCCAAAGTCTATAACAATTGAACATTCAATCTTCCTCCTATTCCTATCCATACAAAATTGGTTATTTCATAGAGATTACTTTAATCCGTGTAAACCTTGTAGTTTCATACAAGTAAACCATTTTGCCTTCTATCTAATAGTGATATCAGTAAGTCATTAATGATGGACAGTGGCTAGCATTGGAGTCCAGGACATACATCACGTCTTATTTCAGACTAACCAGTTGGCTGGATATACCTGCCTCTCAGTGGATCATGTTGTTTGTACTGAGTGTGGCTCCCAGTAGGAACAATACCAGTTGATGAATCCTAAACAGACGAAATGTATGTGCTGGATCCCACTGCTATCCGGAATCCATCATTAATATCTAAACTGAAAATCCTGGGAATATTGAAGCTTCCGTCCAGTAATCCATATGTTGATGGTGGCTGATCACTTCGCTCCAATCAACGATAGAGACTTACTAGTAGTAAAATAAATATCAGTAAGTCACTTTTGTATCCTCACCTGGTTAACTAGTTCACTAGTTACCAACCGGTCCTAATCCCGGGTAAAGAGGGAAGGTTGGACATAGGGTCAGCAACCCTACCCCGGAAAACAAATCCAATCACTAAAGAAACTTCAAAGCACAAACAAAATATTAAAAAATAAAACTTATTCTTCTCTGGAAACAGGGAGACGAAATGACGTCGGTTGGTGAAAGCCTTCATGGAGCCGATTGGCCGATGTGTCTTCTCTCGATGAAAGCGAAAGTAAACGTGGGGACATGGAATGTCCGCACCATGTTTGAACTCAGCAAGGCAGCCCAGATTGCAAACGAGATGAGAAGGTATCACACTGAAGTGCTAGGAATTTGCGAAAGCAGATGGAATGGAAGTGGACTCTCCAAACTGTCAACTGGAGAATCAATAATCTACTCCAATATTGTCACCCAGACGACAACCACGATCACACTGAGTTATGGAGTGGCTATTATGATGTCCCCAACAGCATTGAAGGCTCTCTCTCTCTCTCATGCAGTGGGAACCAATCTCCTCCAGGATCATGACAGCAAGATTCAACTCAAAAGGAAGGAAGATCACAATCATACAATGCTACACTTTGCACCTACAAATAATGCAGAGCAAGAGAAGAAGGAGGAATTCTACAGACAACTGCAATCAACACTGGACAAGACCTCACCGCAGTTGACGATATCAAAATTCTAATGGGTGACATGAATGCGAAACTGGGAGGGGACAACACAGGAAGAGAACTAACCATGGGCCAAGAAACACTCGGTGAGGTGATGAACGAGAATGGAGAATTGTTTGCAGAATTCTGTGCATTCAACGATTTGGTGATTGGAGGTGAGGCAGTGTGTTCAAGCACAAGGATATCCACAAAGCGAGCGACATGGATTTCACCAGACACCAGGACACACTACACTAAAAATCAGATCGACTTTACCTCAATGTGAAGAAAGTGGAGACTCAGCCTACTTGACACAACGTCAAGAAGAGGAGCAGATGTAGGTCCACACCACTCACTGTACAGTGCAAGGAACCTGCCTTCCAAATCAAGTTAAAAGCCTTCAAAGAAGCTGGTGATAGACTACAGTCCAAGTACAACACTCGGAAACTGAAGGATGAAATTACAAAGGAAATCTTCACGGCAGCCAGCCATCAAGACAAAATGGGAGATATCGAGGAACATCCCTGAAAAAACCTATGTGGAAGAACACCGGAAGTCTTTGAAAGCTATGTGGAAAGAAACCTACACAGCCGTATTAGGAAGGAAGAATAAAGAGGATAAGGAATGGAATGGATCCCCATAGACATATGGAAGCTGGTAGAGGAGGGAGAGGAGGGTGGTGAAGCAGAAGATAAACCAGTGAAGTGCAAGGATGCACAACAACAAGAGGAACTGAGTACAATATATAAAACACTACACTGGAGAAAGAAGTGAAGAAGAGTGCACGGAAAGACAAAAGACACTTCCACAACACACTGGCAAGTGAAGCAGAACAGGCTGGAGGTAGGAGAGACCTGACAACATTGTATCAAATAACTAGGTTACTATCTGGGAAGAGATCAACACACGTGAGACCAATAAAAGATGATGAAGGGAATTTAATTACCAAAGAAGAGAAACAGAGGAAACGATGGGCCAACCACTTCAAAAAGCTGTTGAATCGATCATCGCCACTACCTGCACCTCGTCCAGGAATACCACCTCCAGCCCAGCCACAGAACTACCAGTGAACACAAATCCTCCTACAAAAGTCGAAGTCCTGAACGCCATAAAGCTACTGAAGTGTAGGAAAGCAGCAGGACCAGATAGAATCCCGCCAGAAGCACTGCAAAAGGAGACGCAGAGACAACAGCAGTGGACATGCTCACACCACTACCGCAGAAGGTGTAAAAGGAAGGAAGGAAAGGTAACTGCCGATTGATTGTAAGAACGACTAACTTGTCAAACTCCCGAAGAAGAGGGACCTCAGTGTTTGCAAGAACTGGCTCGGAATCACTCTCCTGTCCACCCAAAGCAAGCAAAATATTCAGCCGCATCACACTGGGGAGACTAAAAGGAAAATGGTCTGGATTCAAAATTACCACCGGAACAGGCTGGCTGGCTGGCTGGCTGGCTGGCTGGCTGGCTGGCTGGCTGGCTGGCTGGCTGGCTGGCTGGCTGGCTGGCTGGCTGGCTGGCTGGCTGGCTGGCTGGCTGGCTGGCTGGCTGGCTGGCTGGCTGGCTGGCTGGCTGGCTGGCTGGCTGGCTGGCTGGCTGGCTGGCTGGCTGGCTGGCTGGCTGGCTGGCTGGCTGGCTGGCTGGCTGGCTGGCTGGCTGGCTGGCTGGCTGGCTTCAGGAAGTAAAAATCATATGCGGACCAAATTGCAACGCTTCACAACGCGTCATCATAGAACAGAGTATAGAATGCCAGTCAACTCTGTACCTTACCTCAATTTCATCGACTTTGAGAAGGCCTTTGACAACGTCGACCGAGAAGTAATTAGCCAGGCAGTTGCTTCAACACTACGGAATACCACAAACCTTTATCCACCTCATTCAACAACTATATGAAGACGCCACATACCAGCCAAGTAATTCACAATGGGAAGCTCAGTGATGCTTTTGAAGTGAAGACAGGGGACAGGAGTGAAACAAGGCTGTCTACTATCACCCATGATCTTCCTGACTGTAGTAGACTGGGTCATGCAGCAGACGGCTGTAGGGAGCGAGAAGAGGGGGATACACTGGCTGGACTGCGGAAAACATCCTAGAAGATTTGGATTTCACAGATGACTCTTGTCTAATG